ATAAGAAGAAGAATAGGAAAAACGTGTGCTAATGTGTGCTAACGGTTGTTACCATAGTTTCATGTGCTTATCTTATCGCCTCTGATGCGTCTTTTTCCCTAAAAAATCACAAGACGGGAAAACGTTGCTGATGTGAACGTTTGTATTGACAGGATACGAGCTCGAAAAAAACTATTGAGGTCCGAAATAATCACACGACAAAATGGTCCCAGTGTGTACGGACCTTAAGAAAAAGAATACAATAATGACAATATTATTACCTCTCTCTCGCTCTCTATCTATCTATCTATCTATCTATCTATCTATCTATCTATCTATCTATCTATCTATCTATACACATACTTGGATTTCAATTTGGTTTAGAGCAGCCTTTTGTCCAACACAACCATGACCTCTCCTTCCCTCTATCTGTATCCCCTTATCTCCCATGTATGAATGTTTCTACAAACAAAGAAAAATTTCAACAGCCCTTAGTTTTGCTGCTATAAGCTCAGCCTTTTCTTTTCTCTCTTTTCAAGCTGTCTCTCACTCTCTCACCATCTAAACACACTTTTACCTGTCATAAATTTGGGTTTCATGCTCTTTGGCATGTACAGTAGTATTTAAACTGAACCTAAGATCAGTTTGGTTTACAGTTTTTCTCAGTCGCTTTGGTGCATTTCTCACATCACTATTAACATTTGCACAACAGTTGGTCCATTTCTCAGAACAAACTGCAAAATCTAGTGGATAACCTGCAAAAGCACGTCACTTGCTCAAAATGAAGAGTTGATTACTCAGAAGCAAGTATTTAAGTCAATGAAAGTGTCTGTGTCATCAAAATAATTAGTCCTGACACCATTGTTTATGAACACGACAGTCAGATGGCTTTGTCATGTTTTCATTATGACGCTTTACTCTCTCTCTGGTTTCCAATGCAAAAAAGTCAGATCTTGGTGACACTACCTGAAAATGCTCAAGACAGCAGTAAACACTACCTGTACAGCCATTTGAAAACTACAGTGAAGTTACAAATTACTGTATTTAATGGGGTAACTGAATACATGTGTGTTTCACATATTTACTGCATATGATCTAAAAAAATTCACAGTCACTTCTTTGGAACAAACATAACATTCACAGCGGTTCTCCCTACATTTGGTTGCACCCGTCGACCAGCCTCAGCCATTATGAGGCCGTGATTGACAACATGGTCCACAAGTGTATCCCTGATTTCATCAAGGATTTAATTATTTACTTTACCTCTTCTTACTCTGCCGTTGTTTTGTCCCCTTCCCCTTTCCCTGCACAACACTGACGTTCAATTTTTGTGTCACACAATTGTAGAAATGGTACACGCCAAGTCCTAATGGTTTACATATGCTTGCCAAGTGAGGGTTCATGGGATTCAGCTCTGAGTGACTGTGGACAAGTGGCTTGTTGTTGGTTACAACTAATGCTTCACACACCTCCTTATGAGTTAGAGCTGAGGTTCACCTGAGAGCAATTGTTCAATTTAGAACTAGTTCAACAATTTTGTATGTAATGACTGAAGCAATAAAATGAGGACTATTAGTTTTTTAGGGAATGACTATTTAGCATTTAGAAGTATGTTTCATTTTGACTGACATGACATAAGCAAATGCTAATGTTATAAAACAGCACAGAATTGTGAAAGTAAATGATACATGTCCAAGAGCATTTGCATTTTGTTAAGAAGAATGAGAAACTGCTACAGTGATGTGCACAAATGACTCAATGTTTTGGAGCTTGAACTAATAGTTGTGAGGAATTTCATTCTGATATGAGAAATGCACCAATGACACTGAGAAAAACTGTAAAGTCCTACTCCGATCCTTTTTTTCCCCCTACTACTTAAAGTGTCCTCAATGGTCTTCAAATTGTGATTATGAAGTTTTTAGCCAAAATCACGTTACCTGTGTCAGTTTTTAGGACTTTTCTTCTGCAGAGCTCCAGTAGATCATTAGCAATTCACCTCTGAGTCGTGGGCGGAGACAGCGCTGCTCTGCCCACTCGTCTTCACGTTAGCTTGCATAGGACCTATTTAGCTTTCGGACACTAATGTCTTTGGGGAGGCAATGTAAGTTAATATCATAATTAGCTTTCTTATGAGCATTGTTCTGTGTTCGTCCTCTCTATATATCCGGGTGTGGCCTGCATTCCACGGCTCTGGGGGCGGAGCTTGAAATTGTGACATAGGAAATCTCACTGTATCTGAGCCTGCCATTTGGGTCTGCCAGAGAGTCGCGTGATTTAAATGTCCTATAGCAGTGGTTCTCAAGTCCAGTCCTCAAGGCCCACGGCCCTGCATGTTTTGAATGTTTCCCTGCTCCAACACACCTGATTCAAATGATCAGCTCGTTATCAAGCTCTGTAATGGCTTACTAATGAGCTAATCATTTGAATCAGGTGTGTTGGAGCAGGGAATCATCCAAAACATGCAGGATGGGGGGTCTCGAGGACTGGACTTGAGAACCACTGTCCTACAGCATCAGAAAAACGTCCTATGAACTGGTCAGAAACAAGAAAAAACTTGATTTTCATCGGACTGGGTCTTTAATAAAAGATTGCAACATTTTCACACGATATTCACTCACAAAACGATTCAACAGAAACAGTCTGCCATTGATGCATTGTTGGTTTTGATTTTTGTGATGCTTCATATCCACAAAATGTAAAAACTCAGTGCTAGTAAGTTAAAATATTTGGTGACAGTAACTGAAAAGAAGAAATGAAAATTGTAGATCTGCTTTTTAACAGCAAAACAGCTGCCTTCATGTTGTAACCTGACATAGTGACACCTTCAGTAAGTGCACTGATTGCTGTTATATGCATATCTGTGTAAACTCAGTGGCGATTTTTTTTTTTTCTTGTCATAACACCTGCTGCTCCAGTCAAAGTCCTCGGTGCATTGACTGTTAAACCTCTACATCCCTGGACCTGCTCAGAAATCTAGGACACATCCTCCTTGAATCCTACAGCCCTAAGAAAAGGCAGCAAAGAGAAAGAGACTGCAGGAAGTCATTACACACATTGTAATTAAAAGCGCTAGCTAATTTATGGATTCCATATCTGCAGAATTCTCATTTTCATGGAGAGTTAAGATACAGAAAGCAGGAGAAATATCCACATTAAGCCGCGCCAGGAACAGAGGAAGTCTATTTATTAATAAATTAGAAAACACAATGGCTTACAGTAAAATGTGCACGCTTTGATAGAGAGTTTTAAATGAATATGGACGCCATGCAGTCCCAACTTCACTCATCCAGCTCATTTTACAGGAGGACCGGGCTGATATGACATTTATTACAAGAATTCAGTGCTTCAACAAGTTCCCGCTGCATGCTCCACAATTTAAATATATTACATAAAAGGAAGTGGATTTCTGATAAAACATGCAGTGCTCTGTGGGAGAGCCTGCAGGAATATTTCAGCAGAGCTCCAGATAAGGACTGACCGGACTGTATATCAAGAGTCTGCAGAGGGGAAGCAAGAGAGTCCTCATTCCTTCTTTTTTTTAAGGGCTGAACCTGAGCTGCAGGTCTGTCTCAGAGGGGTTTTCCAGACAGCCGTCATCTTCATCAGAGAAACCGTCTTACTGCGCTGAGTCACAGCACACCAGCGGCTGTTATCTGCAGCAGCAGTGGGCTGAGACTGATGAGCTGCAATAATGTTCATCATCATGTTTACCGGACTCATTTGTCACACAGAGTTATGACAGTAATCACAATATATGCAGCTGAACTCAGACTCTTTGTGCAGTGCAGCATTCTTATTTTCTCAACCATGGAGCTTTGTCGTAGCTCTAAAAACTAAACCGGAACCAACAACTTCTGTGTCTTGTATTAAAGGTGCAACAATTGCCGTTCTTTTAATGCTGTTCGGGGACTATTTTAGCTGCATCATGAACCGGTGGCAGGCTCAGATTGTTATTGAAGTGTCTGACAGAAAGGATCCCTGCAGAGATAAACCAAAGAGGGCAAGGATTTATGTGGACACCAGGAAAAGCAGTTACATTACTCTCCTTATTAAACCTTTCAAATATATAAAATAGTGTCTTAACCAAAAGATTATAATAAAAAAACAAAGACAAAAAAAAAAACATGATTATGATTATTATCATTAAGTGCAGACAACCAGGCCTGAGGACCCTACAGCTGTCTGGAACACAATCCAGAACAATACAAAAAGATACAACAGGATACAACAGTATGGTATGATAAAATGCAAAACAGTAAGATGCAGTGCAATAGGCTATGATAAGACACAACACAATTCAATAGAATCTGATACTATGATAATACTGACACTAACAGATGGTACAAGATAATGCAAGAAAGAGTAGGGGAGACTGGGGATAGTTGCAACAAGGCTAAATCCTCCAATCAAAAACATGCTAGATTGATGACACTGACACTGCAGAAATATTCAAAATTGAAATTGAATGGATTTGTGAAATGTTGCAACTGTCGCAGGGATGGGGTTGGTTGCAACAGTTGACTTTTTTGAATGAATGAATGAAAGAATGAATATTGTAAAGATTTGTCTAATGGAATGGGAAAGTAGAGGACAGATGTAAATTCACTCTATAAATAAATGGTTGGCCTAGTCCAAATCATCTCTGCGTACTTTAGGATTACACACCGGGACAATTTTTGTCGTACGATTATTTCCGACGCCAATATTTTTTTTCGAGCCCGTATCCTGTCAATTCAAGCGTTCACATCAGTGATGTTTTCCCGTCCTGCCATATTGCAGCATCTATTTTTCTGTCAAATTTTTCTAAAGTTTTGAAGTGTGTCCACTTCTGACCAATTAGATTTCGTGTTGTTGCGACGCCAGATACTCTGGTATATCCAACATGGCCGACCGGCTGATTGTTTACATGTCGGAGAACAGAGTGCTTTTTCATAAAAGACACAAATATTACAAAGATAACGACCTGAAGGACAACTTGTGGAGAGTCATAGCGTCGGATTTCTCATATGACGATGGTTTGTGTGCTTTAACAGTTTGCTAAACGTCCTTGTTTTAACTTTCATCTGTGCTAAGTAATTTTAGCTTGTAAGCTAACCTGTTCAGATACAACATACCATATGTATTTTCACTGTCTCAAACTCAATTGTGTTGCTGTCACAGCACCATTAGGTCTCGGTTGTTACCTTACGTTTATGGATTATAGTTTAATGTGCTTATCTGGTACTGGCCCCAACTCAGTACATGCTATCATGACAGACAGTCATCTCAACACTAGAGTCTAATCAGAACTGAGAAACATTCAGTCTGCTGTTGTGTCAGTCTTCTCGCTTCCACCCGGGACGCATCTTTTTCCCCCCAGAAAGTCGCAAAATTGCATCGCCTCCGAATATTTCGTATATTTGCGTTGTTCCCGATGTGTAAGGACCTTTATACATGACCCACTGTATGATTTAATTCTAGAATTTTGATACAGATTTTAATGTTCAGCATTAGCAGTAGCCATCTTGGTTGTTACCGTTTTATTTCAAACCCATAAGTTATTAAATGAAGGTCTGTCGTCTGCCTGAACCTAAACTGGAAACACAGGAGCAGATGTATCCGTAAGGGAGCGTATGAACCTTGAGTGTCCTCCATGCTGCTCTGAGAGCACAGTGTACTCCACAGTGAGAGTAAAATAAATGGTGTTTGTGCTATTTTCCTTCTGTGTGAGTCTTTTGTCTGCATCTGTCTTCTGCCAGTTTGCAGCAAACAGCAGAAATCATATAGAGAGGAATCCATTAGAGACAGAGAGCAGCAGGAAAGCATTACAGTTTTAGCCAGTATCACTCTGAGAGGCAGAAAAACAGCTAAATGACATAACATTACCAGGAAACCTCCACTGCACTGAGCTGCATGGAGTAGAGTAATATAGCAGAGAGAAATATCTGAAGGTAAATTTTCTTTTTGAGATCTGTTTAATGTTCCCGAGCTTTCATGTACTTCTGTGCTGCGTTTAAGAACTCCTTAAAGCTACTCAATCAGTGAAGACGGAGACAAACTGGACTAAAGGACTCGCAAATAAGAAGTGATTTAAAATTCAATACCACAGCAATTTACAGGAAGCTCTGTTGTTATGTGGGCACGCCCTTTCACTTAGCTACAGGATACAGGAATCATTAATGGCTTCATTTTCTGCCGTTTCAGTTCAGGACAGATCTGGAAAGCGATATTTATCTATTACCAAAAACAACCGTCGGTGGAAATTATCTTTCATAGCCATGTGGTTTACAGGTAATTTTCAAAGCAAGGCCATCATGGGGACATATCTCTCCATTTTCTCTATGATTTAGCACAAATAGAGCTGATAGTAGATGGATATAGATATCTCGATCGCTGTTTTTTTTTAACCTTTAAAGACCTTCAAATCTTCCTGCAACAAAATCAGGACATTAACACCCACAAACCCGCCAAACAGCAAGTAACACAGTCTCTTTTGAAGGGTTGGATTAGTCTCTTCACAAAAGGCATTTGAAATAACAAATGAATAACAATGTGATGCTGCAGCACTACTACTCCCATGGGCGCAACCTACACACAGTCACTTGCTCATGAGGTTTTTCCTCATTCAAACCATGCATGCACTTGGAAGTATTCACCAACCATTTGTACATTTTTCAATTTTCCATTCACTGGACAATCCCACATTGTATTCCGCACTTAGCATTTGGGAAACTAACAGCGCGTTACATACATCTGCGCTGATTTCACTCTGCACAATCCCGCAGCATGCAATGTCATTTACAAACCTGTACACATCACCTGTTGTGACGTATCGAGTGACGCATTTCCGAATAAAAGCTGTCTTATTGGGCGTCTTTTTAAAATGTACTACTGATGAAAAGTACAACCAGATCGCATGCATGCCAGAAAAATGGTGAGAGGCAGGGTGAACACATTTCAAGCTGCAGGTGTGACTTGTGTCGGTGACAGGGGGATGAATAACAGCTGAAAGATGAAGGTGGAGGTGAAATATTAAAAGCTGAGAAAGAGGAGAGCACTGACTTAGAAGAGTTAGTGGTTGCCATAAAATTATATAAAATGTACTGAATGCGTGTGGTCACAAATACTATCTTCCTGTATTTTTTTTTACAGTATCTACCATTGCAAACGTCCATTCATGGCAGCAGCGGTGTACAGCAGTCACAGTTCTCCTCCTGTGTTTTCACACCCAGGACTCTTCCTGTCTCCCCCTGAACGGTAAACCCTGTCATTGCTGTCTCCGCTCCTCTCCATGCTGCTCTCCTGACACTAAAAACCAGCCCTGACATGTGACACGCCGAGCTGAAATAGGAAACAGGGCCTGTTTGTGTAAATATGAAGGCATCGCTCTGTGTTTTTCCTGAATGCAAGCGGCAGAGTGAACCTGTCACAGGGATCAGATGCTGCTCGGCTGGCAGACAAACAGCCCGCAGACACAGAGAAACACACAGCTGACTCCTTCACTCTGAGTCCCGGAGGAGATTTTTCTCTATTTGACCTCTCTGCTCCTGTGCTCAGGTGAACTCAATCTGTTTAACACTCAATGAGCACCAAGAGGACACAACTGTTAGCCTGTGGCTGCTTTATCGAGGTCTTGTTTAGTATTTTAATTCCATTTAACAATCCTGCTCCAGACCGAAGCTACAGAAAAGTGTCTTATTAATATAAATAAATCCTCTTAAAAAGGAGCAACTCAACTTTTAATATTTATCGACTTTAACCCAAGGTACAGTTCGTGTAACTTTTGAGGACACGTCTGAAATCCAAGTTACAAGATTTATCAGCGTTATTATTGTTGAGAGAGGGCACATACATTTTACAGCTCATGTGGAGTGAACTGTCAGCTGCTTTAAGAAAAGACTGTTTGCATTCAGTACACTGGAGAGGCTTCGATAGTGCACTTTGTTTTAATCAACTGGAATTAACCGGAGGGCACTTAGTTTACATTTAACGCACTGAAAGGGTTAGCAGAGGACACTTTTTTTATCATTTCTTGACTGGAGGGGAATCAAGAGAGCATATTGTTTACATTAAATGTGCTGGAAAAATGAGCAGAGGGCACTGTTTATATTTAATGCACTGAAAGGGTAAGCAGAGGACACTTCTTTACGGTTTCTTGACTGGAGGGAATCAAGAGGACGCTTTGTTTACATTTTAGCCTCTGTACGAGTGGTTTACTTGGTTAACATTTAAATACTTAACAATAGCAACCAAAGGGCACTTTGTTTACATCTTATTCACTAAAAAACAGCAACGACAGAGCGCTTTTTGAAATGTTTTTATACACTGTCTGGGCATGTAAGGGGTGCTTTGTTTACGTTTTAGCCACTGAAAGAGTAACCAGAGGGCACTTAGTTTACATTTAATACTTTACAAGAGCAACCACAGAGCACTTTGTTTACATCTTCTCCACTACAAAAGAACAACCACAGAGCACTTTTTAAATGTTTGTTTGGGCATGTAGAGGGCACTTTGTTTATATATTAGCCTCTGAAAGAGTAACCAGAGGGCACTTTGGTTACAATAGAGCGACTGAGAGGGCTTTCTTTGTTAATGATGGATTTACTGAACAAGAGCAACCAGAGGACACTTTGTTTACACTTAATGCACTGGACAAGTAACCAGAGGGCACTTTTTTTTAAAACAATTTCTTGACTTGAGGGGAATCAAGAGTTCACTTTGTTTACATTTTAGCCTCTAAAAAAGGGCAACTACAGAACGCTTTTTGAAATGTTTTATACACTGTTTGGGCATGTTGAGGGCACTTTGTTTACATACTAGCCTGTGGAAGAGCAACCAGAGGGCACTTTGGTTACAGATTATCCATTAAAAGAATAAGCAGGGGCATTTTGTTCGCATTTTACCCACTGAAGGAGTTACCAGTTGGTACTTTGTTTACATATGTTGCTTTCTACTATTTCTTTGGCTCTCGATCACACCTTGAATATTAGTGTAGTCTAAAGTGCATAGCATCCTTATGTCTCCTCCTGTCCATCATAGTGAGTGGCATCATAGCAGACACATCTTTACCTCTGCTCCATCTGCTGATCCCCTCTGTGCAGACCCTGACTCCACAGTCAGTGCAGGATGCTTCTCCCTGTCTTGCCTTAGTTGGATTTTGGCATCTCTGGAGTGCAACAGGTGGAGCTGGAGACGCATCATCCATCTTAATACACAGTCAGAGGTTGAGCGTGTCAGCGTTTGTCAATCACCAGCAGGAGACAGAAACATGGCAGATCATGAGCCCGGGCATCCCTCATGAATCCTGCAGCTTCTTCTTCCATAGAATCACCCCTGAGATGGAGCCCAAACATGAACGAGCCGCATCCCATCCCTCATTATTGATACACTGAACGCCCTGCAGCCCCTCTGCTCACAGCACCCTGTGATTCCTCTCTGTCAGAGTTTCTTTCAGTCGGCTATTTGCATCCCACACCAGGGACACAAGGCCTGAAGGGGGAAACATGAGCGTCACACCGCTGAAAGATCACTCTGCCTCTCTGTGCACACATTTGCAAGTGTAACAACGAGCGGAAAATGATAACAAAGCAAACACAAGTCCACTGAGGTAATTATAGAGGGCGTAGTTTGCATAAATTATTGCTGCCATCATCGCTCAGTAGGATATGTTTGTGCAGGAAAAAACATCCTCTGCAGCCTCTTTTTTTCTGACTGAATCAAAGCGCAGTAACGATTACTAAAACATCAATAATAGTTTAAAAAGCACTTTGCACTCTCTAATTAGCATGCTGGAGTCACCTTCTCTCTGTGACTATGTGCATACAGAGCATGTGTGGGTGTGGAGCGCTCTGCTAATGAGAGCATTAAGCATCGCTATTAAAAACTCCACATCTGAGCGGAGGAAGGGTCTTTACATAATTGTATATCATCAGAGTTTGCAGAGCGGCTGATTAAAGCTGTGACTGAGCTCGTTAATGTGTCATTATGAAGCTCACAGATGAACCAGATGCTGCTCATATCTGACCCGGTCAGATTTTGTGTGGACTCAGAGAGGGAGTTAATTGAATAAGGTTAATGAGTAAATATGTGTATTCAAGCAAAGCTTTAAAGATATATTTCTATTCAGAGGTTAAAAAGCTGCGCTGAAGTGGCTTTTTAAGAGTCATGCACGCAAAAGATTATCAAATAAAGGAATACATGTGCACCAAAAAGAAATGTTTGTCTGTTAAATCAGATTAGCTGTCAAATAAAATGCTTCAACAGTTCATTGAAACATATTAAAATATGTATTCACACATGAACAAAACTCCTGAAAATTTAGAAAATTTCACGTAAACATTTCCTGGAGTTTTTTTCTGCCAAAAAAAATATTCTCCGACTGCTAAGCAGGATGGATAAAAAAAACAGCTGAGATTGAAGAACGAGGAACTTTATTTCTTTTTTTTTTTTTTTGGAACAGAATATTTGTGTTTACACTGCTAAAAATTTTAAAAATATCATCACAGTGCAGATCTCTGTAACACTGAACCAAATGAAGACCCAGATGCAAACTCACAGGCTGGCAAAATCAAAGTCTGTTTAATCAAAAAACAGTCAGTACACAGGATCCAAATTGACAGGCTAGAGAGGCTAAGGCCTTGCTGCTAAAATGAATATATTTTTATATGCTTTGGTTTGCCATCCACACGAAACTGCAAGATCATGTCATTAAAAAACTGTGCTTTTGAAAAACTCCAGCCAAAGTGAAGATTTTGGAAAACTCTGGTTTTGCGTTTGTGTGTCCCCAATCCCCAAACGTCAGTGTCCATACGATGGGCCCTTGTTTATGTCAGCACAGATATATATACAGAATATATATTTTTGTGAGGAGCAAAGGAGAAGGAGTCAGTTTCCTGCACCAAATAACCCTCCCTTCACCTTTCTTGTGTCTTGTTGACTTTATACTCCAAAACGATGCTGAAAAGCAATTTTGCCTCTTTGTTGGTCCACATGAACGAACTCCACAGCGCTATGTTTCATGTTTGGAGAAGTGACAACTAGAAAGGGAAGCTTGCTCTAATTGAATAAAATGGATCTCACTTTTTGGCAAATACTAGCATGCTTATAACCGAGGTCAATTGCACACTTACACCGTTTTGAGTGGATGGGATTTTATTTGAAAACGATGATTTGTGTACATGACTTTTTCTTTTTTTTAAACAGCAGGGATTGGATATTCGTTCATAAAAATACCCGGCTACATGTATACAAGTCCTAAAATTAGAAACTAAAATGAGGTCAAAACACTGAGGCAAACACTAGAAATATATGCTGGAGCTCTGACACTAAAGACAAGACATACAGAAACAGAGGGGAGGGAAAGCTGGGTTTAAATCCACCAGGGCAGAGGAGTTAACGAGACACAGGTGAGACACATCAGGGTAATCAGGGGAGCAGGTGACACAAGGAGGAGGAAGTAATGAACCTGATACAAGAGTCAAAGGTGAATATAAAAAAAATAGGAAACAGTACTTAACTAATCAGGAGATGTGACAGTCTCCTTTGTTTCATCCTCCATCATGTCGTTAAGACCACACTAAGGTTCCTGTTATGTCACCTGGACCCCTAAATTCTATCATAGTAACAACAATTCTGTCATTCAGTTCTGGGTTAGATCATGTGAGATTAAATGGTCAGGTGGACATAATTTGGCTAGTTTGAGATATAAGCAGGATTCTAAGCGTATTATAACTCTAAAGGTCCTTACACACCGGGAATGATGCAAATATGCGACGCGAAATTACGAAATACTCAAGGGCGGATTTTGACAGGCCTGACTGTACACATCAAGCGCGATGCGACTCCTTGGGGGAAAAAAGATACGTCCCGGGTGGAAGCGAGAAGACTGACACAACAGCAGACTGACTGTTTTTCAGTTCTGATTAGACACTAGTGTTGAGATGATTGTCTGTCATGATAGCATGTACTGAGTCGGGGCCAGTACCAGATAAGCACATTAAACTATAATCCATAAACGTTAAGTAACAACCGAGACCTAATGGTGCTGTGACAGCAACGAGATTGAGTTTGAGACAGTGAAAATACATATGGTATGTTGTATCTGAACAGGTTAGCTTACGAGCTAAAGTTACTTAGCACAGATGAAAGTTAAAACAAAGACGTTTATCAAACTGTTAAAGCACACAAACCATCATCATATGAGAAATCCAACGCTATGACTTTCCACAAGTTGTCCTTCAGGTCGCTATCTTTGTAATATTTGTGTTTTTTATCAAAAAGCACTCTGTTCTCCGACACGTAAACAATCAGCCTGTCGGCCATGTTGGATGTATTGGTGAATAAGATGTCACAACAACACACAATCTGATTGGTCAGAAGTGGACACACAGTATGTGAAACTGTAGAAAAATCGACCATGATACTTAAAAAAAAAAAAAAGCTGCAATATGGCAGGACAGGAAAATGTCGCTAATGTAAACGCTTGTCATGACAGGATACAGGTTCGAAAAAAATATTGACGTCCGAAATAATCGCACGAAAAAAAAGCTCCCGGTGGACCTTAACTACCAAAAAAATATATATAAAAAGAAATTATATTTGACTAATTTAAGCCAAAAGTCAAAGTAACTATTATAACAACTCACCTGACAAACAGCTATTTAACAGCATTGAGCTCAACTCAGTAGAGTTAACATGTTGAATCCCTGAGGTCTCTGAAGTACTCCAAATAAACTCTGTAAGGGGTGTTCATCTCTGTCAGACTTGAAGCTTTTCTCGGCCTGCTATCAAATTACATGCTCATGTAACATCCGGTGCAGAAGGTAGTGGTAATGCAGCTGAGATAATTGGTATCTGCTGGGTTTTTTTAAGATCTTAGAGTTGTTATACATCTGTTTCAGCTGTCATCTTGCGTTGAGGTGTTTTCTATGACAGGGAATAAATACTGAGTCTGAGTTTTGGCTGTTTTCAGCGCATCCTTGCACTTTTGGAGCAACTTTTAGCCTGCAAACTATGGAGTTACCATAGAATGTTCCCAAATGCACTTTTTAAATGTTTTATTTTGATGCTCATTATGTGCTGTCTAGTGGCATTGTTAAAGTCTGTCTCAGTAATGTGCTCTAACATTCTGTGTGCAAAGCAATTTCTCCCAAGGGGGCTGAGCTGAGCTGCTCGGAAAGTTGCCAGCGTAGACAGATCTATACTTGACTCTTCATGACTATTTCATGATCTGTGTGGATATAGCAGGGAATACTTAATTTGTGACCATTAATTAGCTTTGCTAAAAGAAAGGATGGATAGTATAATTTCAACTTGTAAACAAATTTGAATTTGAAGAAAAGGTGTGAGTTATTTGTCTTTTCTATGCGTGTTTTCAGGGCAGGTATGTTTTCTGTTCGCTCAGGTGAGAATAAAACAAACACAGTTTTTCTTTAAAAATAAACTCTGCAGATCGTGCAGTTTTCCTTTTTGGACACTGACTCCAATCGATGAATTGAAAACACCTAAGGGAACCTTAAAATAAAATTTCCTGCATTGACTTAAAAGGCAGACCTTAAATCTTTGATCAATATTGAATTAAGTCCACCTTAAGAGCTGATCTTTGCTCTGATATCAGTGTGAGCTGTGATGGTCGGCTCTGTCTGCAGAAATGATCTGACTTAATCAGAGATTAAAGGAGACTCACCTCACCTGACACACACACACACAGGGGCGCAGAGCTGCAGGGTTTATTCTGCATCTCAGATCTGCAGCTCCTCACTCTGATAAAATCTTAGAGGCGTTTTTATCTGCAGCTGCTCCTAATGTGGCTCATTACTCCCACAGAGCGGCCTTTAGCTGCAGGTAGAAAGATGGAGGACACCTTCAGCTGCTCCCCACCTCCTGCACGCCCATGGCACATCTCTACGTCCTGGTTTGGAGCACGTCAAACAGAAGTGTGTGAGTTTATTCAGAGAGAAGTGCCGTTTTGTCTGCCCTCACACACCAACACCTGGGAGCGACTTTAAGAGCATCACTCAGGAGCTGCTGACGGAGCAGCACAGTTACTCATCACCTCCTCCACCCACCGCTCTCCAGTCGTGATGAACAGCGGCTCAGATGTGTCTGTCCTCAAGTACAATATTCAGCTTCACAAAAAAAACCTGCATGTTTCAGATAGTCGGAACTCAACACATTAAAAAAACTCATGATGTTTTTGATGAATCAGGTTATTGTTTGATGATAAAGTAACAGGATTAGAGCTATCAGCTAAATCTGTGCACGACAAAAAATGCAACTCCGGTTTCATAATACTCGACGCTCACAAAGGCTGTGGCATGCAAACAAATATAAACACATCTGAGTACAATACGCAGCAGTAATAGCAGTCATTCTCTAAAACACGTACAAGATAATGTGAAAATGTAGGAACAAGCTAATTTCAGTTTGCCCAATTCTGAAATGACATCTTAAAACTCTCGGTTTTGGATGAGAAGCAGTTCAAAATCACTTAGTTGCAGCATTAAAGAGTGAAATTTTGCATGAAAGCTCCACTCAGGGTTTGTGTGAGTGCAAATCGAACTATCTTGAAGGTTTGAGTGTTTGATGCAAAGGTTTTATGCGTCTAAGTAAACATGCTCCAGAATAGATTTAATGCATTAGCCATTAGAAAAGAAAACAAGCTGAAGAGGGCTGCCTCTGAATCTCAGGTGACCTTGTTGAGCTTGAAATTAGTATTTTTGAATAACCATAATGTAGCCTAACCAAATAAAAACATTAAGTGAAGGCTTTTATTTCCAAGAGCAAAGACGTTTGAAAGTGGACTGTTTTCCACACTTGCCTTGCACACTTTTATCAGTGAAACAACTTACGACCTGCTGTGGTGGACTCAGATTGTGACTGAGTGTAATATCCAACTTTTTGTTGGAACGCCCTACCACCACACATTTAACAATAATATTATTCTTTTGTGGTTTTATTAATATTAGCATCGTACTTGTCAAGACTTTAAACCAAGAGGTTATTGAACAGTTCGACAACTAAGTCTTAACATTATGAGCCAGAAATACAGGAGCTGAGTGCAGGTCTCCTTTTAATATGTCAGGCTGTGATAGGAGACTCCACCATGGTACTTCCTCTCCTGCCACAGTAGTTATAATTGAAGAGTAAAGGTCCTTACACAACGGGAGCGGGTTTTTTTTAGAACCCGTATCCTGTCAATACAAGTGTTAATTTTTTCGGATCATGGTTGATTTTTCTAAAGTTTCGCATACTGTGTGTCCACTTCTGACCGATCAGATTGCGTGTTGTTGTTACATCAGATTCACCGGTATATCCAACATGGCCGACCGGCTGATTGTTTATGTGTCGGAGAACAGAGTGCTTTTTGTTAAAAGACAGAAATATTACAAAGATAACGACCTGAAGGACAACTTGTGGAGAGTCATAGTGTTGGATTTCTCATATGACGATGGTTTGTGTGCTTTAACAGTTTGCTAAACATCTTTGTTTTAACTTTCATCTGTGCTAAGTAACTTTAGCTCGTAAGCTAATCTGTTCAGATACAACATACCATATGTATTTTCACTGTCTCAAACTCAATCGCGTTGCTGTCATAGCACCATTAGGTCTCGGTTGTTGTCTTTTTTACCCTGGAAAGTCACAAAATTGCATCCCACTTGATGGTGGTGTATAGTCAGACGCATCAAAATTCGCCTCCTAATAATTTGTAATTTCGCGTTGTATATTTGCGTTGTTCCCGGTGTGTGAGAACCTTTAGACAGTTGTTTTCTAGCGTCAGCTCTATCTTTGTTTTTTTCTTTTTTGTTTTGTTTTGTTTTCAGTTTGCTGTATGTGGTGTAGAACTCAAAGAACCTCCACAATCATTTCCTTTTTGGTCTTGTTTGCCTTGTCTCACCTTGCTGTGTGTTGTTCTTTGTCATTGTTGTTTATTGTCATTGCGTTTCTTTCGGCCATTTCTATTGGATTCTTGTGCAATATGGGTATGTGCAGTGTGCATGGGTTGTGTGATTGTCTCTTTGTTAGGTCTAGTACTTTGTGTCATCAGTTGGCAGCTTTATCTGTGCAGCTCTTGGAGTCCAAGACAAATTTCCCTAAGGGGACAATAAAGTGTATCGTATCATATTGTATTGTATTGTATCGTATCATATTGTATCGTATCGTATTGTATCATATCGTATTGTATGGTATCGTATCGTATCGTATTGCACAAGAACCTTGTCAGATGTTTGGTGTAGTGAGAGTGTGCTCAGGTCAGCTTTGAATTCCACACTTCCTCCATTACTGTAGAAAATCATCACTGTGTCAGTTAATTGAGGTCAACAGTACTATTCAATGGTCAGGTTACGATGAGATAAACTAAATGTTTTAAAAAGTATATTATCAAGACAAAACTCTTTTTTTATGTCTGTTTTGCTGACACATCATTTTGTACCTGTGCAAGAAGTCAGCAGCTAGAATTCTCCAGGTAGCAAAATCAGGTTTTCAAAATCCAGATCAGGGCTTATCCCAGTATCTGAAAACAAACACTCAAATCCATGTTAATGCACTCACTGATTAAAGTGAAGTCACTGTTTAATCAGAGTCAGCGTGTTCACCACAGGTTAGATTACCACAGTGGACTGAGATCGTCCACACAGACCGTGCTCCTGCAAAATGTCAGGACTCTTCCATCAGAAATATTCACTCCCGCTCATACATGTTCTGCATTGTAAACCAAAACCTAGACTTAAGATTCTGTGTTATTTCTTATGATATTGGCTGTAAGTGAAAAAAAATGTGTGCATGTTTTATGAACTTCATGCTAAGATTCAATCAGTTCATCTAAAGGTTCAAGTTTCCAAGACCAAGTTTGGACTCTGACCTTTTAGTTGTGGTGGAGAATCTACACAAGGCCTGAACTTAAATGATGCTTTCCTACAAATTGACTGACACTCATCAAACTGAACATCTCTCACACTTATATTTGATTGAAAGCATGCAAACTCAGGAAAAAAGAAAAAAAAATATTTATAAGCAGTGGTGTAGTTTTTAAAATGAATGCATGAGTTTTGCTGTTACCTACAATAAATGAATGTTCAGTAAATCCCAGCCGTGCCCTCTGAGTCGCTCTGCAGGGCGGGATTACTACTCAAGCAGAGCAGCAAACCCTCAGGCTCTGGTTATTTGATCAAATTTTTGGGGGGGATTTCGCACCACAACAGAAAAATATCAGCTGGGTCCTGTTAACAGATTCCTCTCAGTGTTTGTGGATGAATGATTCTGAAGGTCAAGGATGAAAAAAACGTCAATTATTAAGAATAAAAGTAAATAAAGTGGCAGCATGCCTCCACTTAGATATGCATTAAGAGGAGCATGAGAAGAGAGGCAGGTTATGCAAATGAAATGTGCAGAAAACCACATTAAACTTGCATAGTGATTCACTTTAAATACTCCTGTAGAAACAGGCCTTGTGTGAAGCACCCAGGAGTGACAGTGAGGCTGTATCCGTCTGTACATCCAGAACGTACACTGTTATTTCTGCAGCCTGCAGGCTTTTAGCCTGTAAATCCAGTCGTTTTCTTATTTATTTGACACACAGCGTCTGTGTCCTCTTGAGCGCGCCGAGCAGAAAGTATTGATTGTGGAGGTGAGGAGATAAAAACAAACTCAGTGTGCAGACAGCTGACTCTGAGGACAGACTGTGGGACGTCTATTTGAATTACACGTTGAAGAAAACACATGAGTGGGAAAGAACCAGAGTGTTAAGTTCAGAAATAGCATTGCATGTCAGTGTTTGCAGGGAAAATCACACTGTTTCAAATCAGCTGCTCCCACTGTTTTCTAAGCTTGAAGAAATTAAGGCAAGTGTTAGTTCAGGCAGGCCAAGTGCAGGAAATTTTACACAAATAAATGGGAGCTTAGAGCACAAATCTTTACAAGTGTCGTTCAGGTACAATCATCTCATTTCCATCAATAATTTCTTACAATGCATGTCAGCAACAAAGACACATTCACCCCGTGTCCAAGCATTGATTTTTGCTACTTTGGCGATATGTTGGACAGGATATTTGATGTTTCAAAGTCTGGATCATACGGTGGCCCTGAGGTGCAAAACATAACAGCAAATCAGAAAACACGACATAAAGAGAGAAAATACAACAACAAAAGAGAAAACACAAAAGAAAAAGAGAAAACACAAAAGAAAAAGAGAAAACACAACTGCAAATCGGAAAATAAATCATTAACCATTGTGATTTCTCTTTTTGTGTTGCGTTTTCTCTTTTTGTGTTTTCTTTTTTCCTTGCTTTTACCCCTTTTTCTTTCGTGTTTTCTCTTTTTGTGTTGTTTTCTGATTTGCCGTTGCATTTTCTCCTTTTGTGTTGTTTTCTTTTTTTCCTTGTGTTTAGTCATTTTTCTGTCTTTTTTTCTCTTTTTGTGTTGTTTTCTGATTTGCCGTTGCGATTTCTCTTTTTCTGTTGTTTTCTTTTTTCTCTCCTGTTTAGTCCTTTTTCTGTCTTTTTTTCTCATTTTGTGTTGTTTTCTTTTTTCCTTGTGTTTAGTCCTTTTTATGTCGTGTTTTCTCTTTTTGTGTTGTTTTTTGATTCGCAGTTGTGTTTTTTCTTTTTTGTGTAGTGTTTTCTGATTTGCCGTTGCGTTTTCTCTTTTTTTGTTTTCTTTTTTCGTTGTGTTTACTCCTTTTCTGTTGTTTTCTCTTTTTCTGTTGTATTTTTTCTATTTGTGTTGTGTTTTCTGATTTGCAGTTGTGTTTTCTCTCTCTTTCTGTTGTGTTTTCTCTTTTTGTGTTGTGTTTTTCCTTTTAGTGTTGTTTTCTATTTTCCTTGCTTTTACTCCTTTTTGTGTTGCATTTTCTCTTTTTGTGTTGTTTTCTTTTTTCCTTGTGTGTACTTCTTTTTCTGTTGTGTTTTCTATTTTTGTGTTGTTTTCTGATTCGCAGTTGTGTTTTTTCTTTTTTATGTGTTGTTTTCTGATTTTCTGTTGTGTTTTCTCTTTTTTTGTTTTGTTTTCTTTTTTGTGTTGTCTTTTCTGATTTGCCCTTGCCCTTGTGTTTACTCACTTTTCTTGTGTTTTCTATTTTTGTGTTGTGTTTTGTCTTTCTGTGTTGTGTTTTCTGATTTGCAGTTGTGTTGTCTCTCTTTCTGTTGTGTTTCCTCTTTTTGTGTTATATTTTCTTTTTTTGTGTGTTGTCTTTTCTGATTTGTCCTAGTGTTTTCCCCCTCAGGGCCACTGTTAAATCAACTCCAGACGATCAAAAACGGAGATGCAGCTCCAATGAACTGGATGTTTTTACATCATCAGTCAACCCAGGCACATTTAGGGACCGTTGTAAAATTGCAATTCTGCTTCTTTATGAACACACAGTCTTGAAGTCTTATGAAATAAATCAAGCCAAAGTAACTGAAACTGAAGCTACCAAAATAGGACTAAAACGATATAGTATTTTCATCCTAAATCTCAAATAGCTGCCCAACTAAAACTGACCTTAGCCCAGTATAGCATTTATCAAAGTAGCTGTATGTCCTCCTCTAAATATGCAGCAACACTCTGCAGCAGCCTCATTGATCAGTCCAGTCTGATTCAAAGCATTTCTGAGGGTCACATTTTCCCTCTTCAGTGTCCTGAGATTTCTTCAGCCTCCATAAACTCCAGGGAGATGCTGAAAGCGAAGAAAAGCATCACTCCTCAGAGTGTAAGAGCCTGTTTCACAGCACACTGCACCACAAACAGGCACTGTGGCACACCTGAACTGATTGCTAACCAGAACGCTCACCTCACCAGACCTGCAGAACCCGCACTTTATCACACACTCGCTCCCTGCCTTTACACAGTACAGTAAATTATAGTCCATAGCTCAGAAAACAGGGTCCTGTGGGAATAAAAACACCCCAAAAAAGAGGAGACTCTGCCCGCGGTGGAAGTGTTATTACTTTTGCTGAGTCATGAATAATGGATCAAGTTGCTGCATAATCCCTGGGTGTTGAAAAAAGAGAGAAAGACGGCTGAAAATAGAGACAAAAAAAAGATGGATGACCTCCTTTAAGGATCTTTTACAGCAGCCGCAGCTGATCACCTCCCTCCATCCGCTCTGACATCACCGCCCTCCCAAATCCACATCATCCTTTCTGCTGTTTGCAAATCCATCCACCTTGACAAAGTGAGCTCTGAGTGGATGCAAGGTCCAGTTTGAGATGAGGAGGATCACTATGGCAACAAGGATGCTTTATGTCGGCTGCAGAATCAGCCCCCCCCCCTATCCTCGGTGTGGATGGATATCGGTAACATCTCTTAGGTAAGTGATTGTGTTACAGCGCTTGACGGGACTGGAGCACATCTATTTCAGAGCAAGGTTCTTTGGTGGAGAACTGGAGAAGAGAAAAAAAAAAGGCAGACACAGGAGCAGAAGCAGCAGAGCTCCCCCACATGGCGGCAAGCGGTACTGCACGCTTCTCTGTCTCGGAGAACACACCTACGCATCAGATGTAATTCAGCATATTCACACTTACTCTGCACTCTCACACTGCGAGGAAGAAACCTGCAAACACTCCCACACACAGGCTAATGCATGCACGTTACTCACATCCACAGAAATAGTTAAAAAAGAGAGAGATCATGACAAAGAGAAGGAAAAAGAGGACGCTGTTAAAGAGCAGCACATTCGGGGCTTTGAAAGAAGCTCTTTTCCTCCATCTTCTCGATTTTCTAATCAGTGCTATCGCTCCGTCCTTGGAGAGAGAATAAGCAGACGCTCTCTGCAAAGTGATGCTGCCTGAATAGATGCCTGTATACCATCATCTTAACATGCGGTGGAAAAGCTTTTCAGTGTGCAAGCAGAAGCAAACCTGAACAATAAAAGAGTGAAGTAGTCTTTCTGAGGGTTTGTCCTGCAGTATGATCTTCTAGTTTTTGCAAAAGTGTCATTATAAAATAAAATCTTTTAAGACATTATCCCAAACCATTTAGCAGAGTAAACATGAATTAATTTTAGCTCTAAACGGTGAATTCAATCAAAATGAGTAAGGAAATCTTTTACTATGTTCAGAGGGTTAGCATCTATTTTTAGGGTGTATCTATTTTATGCTCACACATGCAAAAGCAAGGCAGGTAGAGTACACCTCCCCACTCTTTGTGTGCATACATGAAAGGCCAAGGCAGGGAGTGCACCTCGTCTTGTTTTTATGTGCATGCAAAAAAAAGGAAGGGTGCTGAAATGTGCTGAAAAGTCAAGGCTGGGAGAGCAGCAGTTGTAGGCTACAAAACAGAGCAGGCATTGGTCCACCATCCGGCAGACGGTTGTCAAATCATACACAGCATAAAAAGGAGGAGTTTGGGTGGAGGCAGGTTGCAAAGCTGTTTGCAAAAAACACAGTTTTGGGGCTGAGCTCTCAGCTGATATAGGCCGGTGCTAACTTTGTGGTCTACCTTCAGCTTAATCTCAACCTGTTAGAGGTTAAGATTATATTGAACCAACTGTCTTTGTTGTGGGTGGTAAGGTCCTTACACACCGGGACCAACGCAAATATACGAAATATTCTGAGAAGAATTTTGACGCCCCTGACTATACACATCAAGCGCGATGCGTTTTTGCGACTTTTCGGGGGTAAAAAAGACTTGTCCCGGGTGGAAGCGAGAAGACTGACACAACAGCAGACTGACTGTTTTTCAGTTCTGATTGGACACTAGTGTTGAGATGTTTGTCTGTCATGATAGCATGTACTGAGTCGGGGCCAGTACCAGATAAGCACATTAAACTATAATCCATAAACATAAGGTAACAACCGAGACCTAATGGTGCTGTGACAGCAACGTGACTGAGTTTGAGACAGAGAAAGTACATATGGTATGTTGTATCTGAACATGTTAGCTTACGAGCTAAAGTTACTTAGCACAGATGAAAGTTAAAACAAGGACGTTTAGCAAACTGTTAAAGCACACAAACCATCGTCATATGAGAAATCCGATGCTATGTTGTCCTTAAGGTCGTTATCTTTGTAATATTTGTGTCTTTTATCAAAAGCACTCTGTTCTCTGACACGTAAACAATCAGCCAGTCAGCCATGTTGGATATACCGGTGAATCTGACGTCGCAACAACACGCAATCTGATTGGTCATAAGTGGACACACAGTATGCCAAACTTTAGAAAATTTTACCATGATACGAAAAAATAAATGCTGCAATATCACAGGACGGGAAAACGTTGCTGATGTGAACCCTTAAATTGACAGGATACGGGTTCGAAAGAAAAAAAAAATTGGTATCTGAAATAATCGCATGAAAAAAATGCTCCCAGTGTGAAAGGACCTGTAGTCATACACTGTACATAGAATGGACAGCATCTGCCTCCTTGCTGGGTGAAGCCATTCCGAGAACAGCACCCTCTGGTGACGGGCTGCAGTATAGGTCGTAAATCCCGCCTCCTCCAGCCCTCCTTATGGAGCTGTGGACAAACTTTAGAAATTTATTTCACAGAATATAAATTTTCCTCCCCCCTGCTTGCAATGTTGACATGTAGTTACAGTAAGACTGGTTTGTGCTCAAGTCCTCTTTTTTTCTGTGCAGCTCCGTTTTTAAAAATTATTAGGGTGTTCATGTTTTCTATGATTGACACTTGATACAGCATACGAAGATGCATCCCACTGAATGCGTACAATGCTACTGCACAATGTTGGTTGTAGGAAGTGGAGAAAAAACATGGAATTACTGAGAGCTTTTCGGCTTCAAATACTGGCGGAAGGCAGAACAAAGTTGTCCACAGTATGTACAGTCTATGGTGGTAGTTTATCCTTAAGATCAAAAAAGACACTGCGATGAATGGTGCAGCCCTAATGTCTATTTTCTTTGTGATGGATCTCCAAACACTGTTCAGGTTTGTCCTGAAGCTGCATAAAGCTCAACTCAAGGCTTTTTCTCAATATTACCCTGATCAGACTGACTGCACCGTCCTCTCTCCTGCCTGTCAAGTATTGTGAGTTTCCAGTCTGCTTAAAACCACAGTTAGATCTGACAACATCCAAAGTAAGTGCATTACACACTTTTCCGCCCTTAAACAGACTGTAAAACTAGCTATTTCTACACCTCACAGTCCTCTCTACTCTCACCTTCTTAGTTTTTACATTCAGCTGAGCTTTATTTCTCAGTTACAGTGTTATTGTGTCAGTTACTGAGTTAAACAGGATGATGTGACAGTTAATTAGAGGGTAAATTAGCCCCCACAGACACTGAAAATATCACTAACTGTTCAACAAGGTGTTCAGGTCAGAGTGGAGAAAATACACAGCTTTACATTCACACACATATACACAATTTTGTCTATAAACTGCTCGATGTCAGGCCTCATGTCATTTTTTTTAAAGAAAACTACAACAGTGAGCGGCGGCTTGGCTTTTCAGAATAGCGGCCTAACCTTTGGAGGTCAGATCCTCTGGGGAATATAAAGAAGAGAGAGAAAGGTTATCTGCATTCTGCTCAGAGTGTGTAACGCTGTGTTTGTTTGTGTGCGCGTGTGTGTGTGTGTGTGTGTGTGTGTGTGTGTGTGTGTGTGTGTGTGTGTGTGTGTGTGTGTGTGTGTGTGTGTGTGTGTGTGAGAGAGAGAGAGGCTTCTCCGCTCTGACAGAATAATGTCAAAACTCAGAGACAAATCCTGAACCTCCACTAAAAATACACTCATTAAACAAGAGATAAAAACACCAGACTTGACGCTTCTGCTTGACTTCTTGTACAAACATTGTGTCACTCTGATTTCTGAAGCTGCTGCAGCAGTATTGTGCAGAGTGTGTGGTTATAAATCACAGTCACACTGCGCATCCAATTCCCAGATTCAGACATGCACAAAGAAGGTAAGCAGAGGTGAGGAGATAGTGTTTTTTATTGACTTCAACACCAATATTTTCAAGACTGTGTCACTTCGACTTACGCTGCATTTCATTTTTACTTGGAAGTTGTATTTTTTGAGTTCCCAGTTGGAAATTCATCTGGAACACCCCCCTTAAGTCGGAATTAGGAATCGGAAAGTCAGACGATCCTCACCAACCCTGACTTGACGAGAATGTCATAATCCAAGACAGCAGCACAGTGCATCAACAGTAAAGAGTAACAGTGAAAGCACTTGTCGGCTAATGTATTATTTTTTAGCACTTCTGTTTTGTTTTTGTGAAATTAAATAAGTGGTATATGTTGTACTACCCAACGTCTAACTTTGAACACGGTGCTATGGTGTAAGAGTAAAATACTGTGTTATGGGCTGTTTTCAACTGGTATAGCTTACAACAGCCAAAAGCAGCTAACAACAGCTAACAACATCTAAAAGTAGCTAACAACAGCTATCAACAACTAAAAGCAGCTAACAACAGCTAACAACAACTAAAAGCAGCTAACAACAGCTAACAACAACTAAAAGCAGCTAACAACAGCGAACAACAACTAAAAGCAGCTAACAACAGCGAACAACAACTGGCTCCAACCTCCAAGGTAACTGGAATGCAGCATTCAAGCTTCTTAAATTTGGCTTGAAACAGCAGAAATGCATGTATGATATCTAAGGATCTACTGACATATTTACCACGACATAAACAGGCAGTTAGCAGTTTATATGCACATGCAGTCAGGTTCCGCTTATTGCATTCAAATCCAACTTAAATGAGAGGTACGAAAAGACTTTTGGTGACCAAGGGAAGCCAACACTGTACAGAAATACGAATATAAAAGGGGCTGAGATGGGGGAGGGTGTACTTGCACCATGCCTGCACCACGCCGCCATTGAGGCACGAAAATAGAGCCCATCATCTCTGACCAGTTTGAGATCTTAAGGACAGGTGTACTGCACAAGACGTCCACTGAGATATACCAAAGGCGACCATACATATGGGAGTTTAGAGTTTGTGTAGCATGGACTAACTGAGTTAGAACATGTAAAAAACACTCGACTTGACCCGAAAAACCCTAAAAATTTACCCTACGCGACTCCAAGATTCGGCCCTGCGTAGTAGTGTCCTCTTTTTGGGCATTCAGAATATGGTCACCCTTACATACCCCTGTTCACTGGCCGAACAGACGGTCCGTCAGTCCTCTGATGCCAGCTGAAAGTGTTTACTGCATAACGGAAGCCAATTCAAGGACAATAATACAGAGTGAAAAGAGCATTTATGTAGAGTGGCTTGTGTTGAATATGATTCATACAGTATATAAAAAAGAAAAAGCGTTCCATTATTGAGTCAAGAGCGTCATGAAGCCAGGGTTAAACAAAGGAGAAGGACCCAAAAATGCAGACAAAAAAGGAATTGTTAAAATGAAGAGCAACAATGGAGCAACACAGCGGTAAACGAGCAACAGGTGAGGCAGAGGAGACACAGGTGAAACTCATGAGTGATTAACGAAGGAGGGAAAACTAGGGAAGTAAAACCAGACTAGAAACGACTACAAACTAAAGCAGTCTCTATGTCTCTTTTCATTTTAAAATAAGTCAAAAGCCATGTTAGTAACTTTTTCTACATATATTCAATGTGAGAGAGTTTTTTATCAGTCACCACCATGCATTAAAGGGACATTTCAGCATTTTTGAGGTAAGAATTTGCCCCAAGGACCGTGTATCTGCAAATAGTGCAAAAACAAACATGTTCTCTGGTGGTTTAAGTAAAGTGAAACACTTCTCGGATTGACACATAAACCATGTTTAGTGACTAGGTTAAAGTTATCACAGTTTTAACAAAAGGAAAGGACCCAAAATGCAGATTAAACTAAAAGATTAAATTATCTTAAAATAAAAAAGGCAAAAAAAAAAGTTGAAGAAGTTCAAACATAAGCAAAAACACTGAGACCAAAGTGAGAAGGTAAAAGAAGATACCAAGAAGACACTAATGACACACAATAAAGACGGGAAACACGGCGTGTGAGTTAAATTGATATACATTTCAAAGTTCTGATTATCAGCTGAGTTACAAACCAAACAGAGCTGCACAATGAGCACAAAGTATGCTAATGATCCCCGTTAATGTTTGCACCTAAATAAGCTGCACAGTCTGTAATGTGCTCTTTGTGTGAAAGACTTCTTCTAATGACTGCTGCAGCTAATTATTCAAAGCGCCCTGCTCAGCACTTCCAGGCTGAGCATGATCAATGAAATGATCAGGAGGACGTCCCACTCTGTCCGGGGGCCTAAACAGCACAGAGCGAGCTGACGGTGGCTAACGTCAGTCTGTGGATGTGTTTATGTATTGATCCTTCCTCACACACACACACACACACACACACACTCAAGCAGGGCGCTGTGAGGCGGCAGCTACGTGCTCCCACGCTGTGATGGAGCATTGAAATTGAAAACAGAGAACGCCCGGCGGCCTCCTGTTTATAATCAGTTTGTATGTTGTTCAAATTAGTCAGGACACGGCGTCTGTCTCCTCAGAGACTCGCCTGCCCTGCAGCGTACAAGCATGAAATGTTGTTATGTGTGCTTATGTGTGCTGCAGAGGAGAGGGATCCCCAATGAAAATTACACGCAGCACTGAAATGTGACAGATTGGAAACAAAAAAACCATGTCTGACTCCCTTGGTTTCTTTTAAATAAGATTCATCTCGCTCAGACAGCCTTTGCACGCCAACAGAAAACAAATAAAGCCACTGCGCGATTGTTCAAACCTCACCTGTTGTGAGGCAATCTTCAAAATGACAACACAGCGAGATTTGGAGGAGATAAACCTCTCATCCCTGAAATGACTGCTGGATTTCAGGGATCAACATTTTGTTTAAATCAGAGCAGCAGGAAAATCCTGCAGCATATAAACATGGCATATGAATACAGAAACAACTGAATCTCACAGAGGTCCCCTGGTTAAAGGCACATTGCCACTGAATTACAAACTCTACAACTAACCAAGCTCTGTAACTCCTCTAAGCTGACAGTATGATTTACTTTGTTAAAAAATGAAGAGCTCTCAAAAGGCTGTGCAGATTCCTCTGATTTGATAGACTCTAAAGGTCCTTTCTCGCCGGGAATGACGTTCATATAGCCTACAACGCGAAATTACGAAATATTCAGAGGCGAATTTTGACGCGCCTGACCATACACATCAGACGTGATGCGATTTTGCGACTTTCCAAGGGGGAAGAAAAGACGCATCTCAGGTGGAAGTGAGAAGACTGACACAACACCAGACTGACTGTTTTTCAGTTCTGATTAGACACTAGTGTTGAGATGTCTGTCTGTCATGATAGCATGTAAGGTAACAACCGAGACCTAACGGTGCTGTGACAGCAACGCGACTGAGTTTGAGACAGTGAAAATACATATGGTATGTTGTATCTGAACAGGTTAGCTTACGAGCTAAAGATACTTAGCACAGATGAAAGATAAAACAAAGACGTTTAGCAAACTGTTATTTTGTTATCTTTGTAATATTTGTGTTTTTTTATCAAAAAGCACTCTGTTCTCCGACACGTAAACAATTAGCCGGTCGGCCATGTTGGATATACTGGTGAATCTGACATGCAACATGCAATCTGATTGGTCAGAAGTGGACACACAGTATGCGAAACTTTAGAAAATTTGACCATGATGTGAAAAAAAAAAAAAAGCCTCAATATCGCAGGACAGGAAAACGTCACTGATGTGAACGCTTGTATTGACAGGATATGGGTTCCAAAGTAAAATTGATGACCGAAATAATCGCACGAAAAAAACGCTCCCGGTGTTTAAGGACCTTGATGCTGCGTTCCAGTTGTACTCGAAAATCGGAATTTCCAAGCTCTGAGTGAGAAATTCATGTGGAACGCCCCCGACATGGAAAGTCGGATGATCCTCACCAACACCAACTTGACGACAACGTCATAATTCAAGATGGCAGTGCAGTGCATCAACATTAAAGAGTAACATTGAAAGCTCTGGTAATATTATATCTATTCGCACTATTTTTTGTTTTTGTGAAATTAAATAAGTGGAATATGTTGTACTAGTGCCCAATGTCTAACTGTGAACACGGTGCCATGGTGTTTCTAAGAGTAAAATACTGTGTTTATGCATTGTTTACAACTGGTATAGCTGACAACAGCTAACAACAGCTGAAAATTGGAAACAATGACCAACAACAGCTAACAGAGGGCGTCTATCTTGGTTTTCCGACTTGTTTACCAGAATGCCGTCAACTGGGCTGTAACGTCATTCCCAGCTCCGACATTAGATTTTCGAGGTAACTGGAACGCAGCATAAAATGAGGTCTTGTTGGTCCTCTACTGAGACCTTAAAAAATCACCACAGTTTAATGACAGAAAACATGGACCAGAACCTGATCAATTTTTTATACACAAAGTAATGCACGCCATGTCACCTGTGGAGCTCCTCAAGGGTTAATCCACACTTGACACTGGACCTGAAAACTACCACCTCTGCTGCCGGACCATCTTCATCCACCTGCCTGGAGGAGAAGAAGGTCACAATGAGCAACAAGTCCTCTCATCTGATAGAACAGCTGTATCTGTATCTGGCAATGACATCATACTCTCATCACCGATCACCAACTTTGGCATCTAATAAAAACATTCCATTTTTGATCAGTCAGCTCATCTTCTTGACTTTTTTTCTACCTCATTTGACCTCCGGCCAGAACTCTCTGCCTTCACCTTGTAATCCGCCTGTAATCCTTTGTGCTCTTGATTTTGCAATGCAGTGATCAGACTTGAACTTTCCCTCTTACTGTCTGCCTTCAGGTCCTTATGTCACCTCCTGCTACCCTGCCTTTTTCTAAGATGTAGTAAAAGCACTTGTTGATATTTCCGTGGTTTCCGTGTTTGACTCCTCAGACTGACTCTGTAGACACACTGCACATCTATAAGAAATAAACCTGAGGATCTTCGGGTGGTTCATTCTCAACTTCTGAGAAGAAAAGCGGCAGAGTAACTCTGCTTTTCCTGGTAAAAAATGACAAACATCAAACAGACGCTATCATGAATTATTGCTTCCTGCCAAACCTCGAAGCAACTGACGCCAGCGCGTCCTCACGCTGTGGGTTTTTCAGTCTTATTAAATATTTATCTTTTGTTCCAAAAATAAGCTGAAAATCCATCTGTGAATTGGGAGGAACAGACACCAGAGCTTTTGTGTCATCATTAGCCCCCAAACACATTCCCTTCTCGTCTTTGTTCCACGTCTGCACGACGAAACGCTCGAACACGGCCCTCAGACTCCAGGCTCTGCTTACAAATCTCATCAATAACTCAGGACGGGATAGATGTGGGCTTCATCTGAGCTGAGTCCAGATTTACTTTATATCTAGTCTTAAAAAACTACACTCTCTATCAGGTGTCCTGCTGGCTCAGAGAGTAAGAGGCTGAGGTAGGATCTGCTTCAATCCTGGGAAGACAAACTTCTCAGAGATTTAACTTGAGTTCAGAGAAACTGTTTAAAGCAAGTTTAAAACGCCAAATTATCCCATAAAGCAGTAGTGATGGGCGTGGCAGTTCTTTTAGGCTGTGTTCACACTGCAGGTCAATTCCGATTTTTTAACCATATGTGACACATATCTGATTTTTTCATGTAAGTGTGAACAGTGCAATTCATCCGTCATCAATATGCAACAAACATCACCATTGTTTGACAACACAAACAGGTGCAGAAAGCAATTTGTGCTTTGTGCGCATGCGGGTCACTTCACGAATGCATTCTGTTCACATTAGTTGCCACATTCATTGTAGTAATGTGAACGACCGCACAAAAAGATCGGATTTAACAGCCTGCAGTGTGAACATATATATATCCGGTCTACTCGGTAAATTGGGCTCTGTGAGTGATTTGTTCACTGAACGTTTACCCCACATTACATTCAATGAAGAATTCACCCTAAACATGCACCGTTCCCTCGCAAATTGCCGCAATGATAGGATCGGACAGTCACGCATTTCTCAAACTGCGTTTACTTGTTACATGCTGTATCCTACTGTACGCAAGTTATTGTTGTTGTTAAAACAACAGGGAACAACGGTTGCCATGAAAGTGTATCCCTCAGACAAAAATGACTCCAGAGAGTGTAGTTTACCAAGTGCGTTCCCTCACTCGCCAGCTGCTAGCCCAGCTCAATTGAAGTGAGAAACAAACAAATCATTTAAGGAAGTGATTTGGTTCAGTACGTTCACTAAAAAAGATTCAATTCCTTTGAACAAATCATTTACAAACGACACAACCATAGATTGTATAGAATGGACACCGTCTGCCTCTTTGCTGGGTGAAGCCACTTCGAGTACAGCTCCCTCTGTTGACGGGCTGCAGTATAGGTCATAAATCCCGCCTCTGCCAGCAAAGCTTATGGAGCTGTGGACAAACTTTAGAAGTTTATTACACAGAATATATTTTTTTCTCCCCCCTGCTTTTGATGTTGACATGTAGTTACAGTAACACTGGTTTGTGTTCAAGTCCTCTTTTTTTCTGTGGAGCAAACATAAAACTCGACCCAAAGGCGGGTTTGTCTCTTCCTACTTCTTGCTTTCTACTCAGTACATTTACACCTTCATGGAAAAAAAAACAAACAACCTGAACAAACTAACAAAAACAGCGAAACAGGAGACACCTCTGCTTCGGAATTACCCTTACAGGATCCCTCAGAGTCCTGGGATCTCTCCTGCACGGAAGTTTTGTTCCCTCTCTTCCTCGGTTTGTTTTTGTGAAGATCCGGTAGTCTGTGGGCCCCTCAGGTGATCAGGAAGAGCATTCGGCAGGTGAAAGGAAATACAGAAGAAGGACCAATCCCTCACTGTGAAGAGCCTGAGCCTGGGCGTCTGGAGATGTTTTTCGGAGTTGCCAGATCTGAAGCTCCTCCTGCGGTGGAGTTTTTGCAAGAGATCCATATGAGATTATTCTGTCAGTGAAACTTGGTTTGTCTGTCTTCAATTTGTTTTATTTTAAACTTTCACAGAAACTTTTAAAGCTATGATAATCCTGAGGTGAAAATCTGATCAATCTGAACTGAATCGAGATATAAATAGATCTGTATCATTATCCCACACAAAAGAGGGGAAATAAGATCAAATAATACTCCTCCTAAGTTTTTGTCTCTATCAGACTAACACTGGAAGCAGACTTGTAACATTTCTGGGCACAAAAACAGAGTGTGATATTAAAGATGAATCAGCAGGGAAGGTGAAAACAAGAGAGTGAGAGCGGAGGCCCCCCTCCAGATCCTCCTCCTCTGCAGGTGTTGACCTAAGACGCTCCGGGTTTGTTTATGACTCTGCCAGCTCTCCTCCTCTATCTGATCTGCATGTAGAGATCCCATCATGTTCCACAGAGCAGAGATAACAGGGAGTCTTATCAAACACAGGTATAAATGTCAGCCTGGAAGATCAGATACCTTCATTGAGATGTTATCCGGATTCAGATTGGAGGTTAAACTGGGTGGGGGTGTTTTTAAAGCGGGATTTATGTCACAGATAAAGAGGTGAGCTGAAAACTCCGCTCTTACAAACAAACCGGAGGCTGTTTCGGGTCATTTTCTTGCGACACTGAATGGAAGTTGAGATTTGGGATGCAGCACTTTTCTTGTTGGATGTGAACTTGTCCAATTACAGCAAACCGCCTGAAACTTTTCAGCCTTTTTCTTTTCTCGGCGAACTCGTCCCATCACAGGAAGCGATTGAGTTTCCACTGAGCCTAAATGTGATACCAAACAGCCTTCCCTTTTTTTCCCCCTCTCTTCCCTCACTGGCCTCAGCATCGTTCCAGGAATCACAATCACTGTTTCTCATCCTTTTTTCCTCCTGAAGGATATCCAATTTTCTCCTCCTTACATAGTTTGTCCTCTATTTTCCCGAGGAGACGTAGCAAGATGTCAGAAATTGCTTCTGCCGGTTGCTGTCATCGATGCAGTGTTGATGTTTTTTTTTTATTTTTGCACATCTGCCGCTTCTGAACGCTATAACGTCCTCACACCCTCGCCTGTAACTCAATCTGCGTTTGGATGTGATTCAATCAGAGCTGCTTCTGTGCGTTTGTGCGGGAACGAAACTCTCTTTCTTCCCCGTCAGTAACTAATCTTTAATTAGTCCCAGAGGATTTGGGTTTCTGCAGAGAGGAGCCTGTGATACTGAGCCGACATGATGATGAATCATGTCCTGATGAGGTGAGTAATCCTCATCTGCAGGCACTCTATCTGCACAGAGATGACAGGTACATGTTTACATGCTGTGATGTGATTGTCCTAATGGCCTTTTCAGCCAGACGTCACCTCTCCCCTCTCATCTGTCACTTCTCTTTTTCCTTTTTTTCTGTGTTTTTCTCCTCCGGCCTCTGTGCTCCGCTTTGATTTCCTCCTCTGCTCTCTTTTTTTTTTTCTTTTAATCTCCAGGACCTATTTGATCTTTAACTGATTTATTTTATCTCGGTGACCTTGGGTGTCTTTGCAGCGGCATGGTGCAGGGAGGAGGGTCGACTTTCTCCTCGATTCGAGCGTAAAAGACCGTCAGGACTTTATTATCGCCAGCCCGAGCCCTGAGAAGTGTAATTACTCTCAGAAACACAGGAACATGCAAACCACTCCTCACTGTACGGGGCTCTGATAATGTTCCCTGCAGCGTTTTTCTGAAAGTGCCTCTTAATTATAACTTTGCTCTGGATAATGAGTCTGATATCTGAAATTGGACTTCTTCGTTTTCTTTTTATCCCGGATTTTTTTTTCAGCGCGCCGTCTCTCTCATCGCTGCAGGCTTTTTTTTTTTTTTTAAACTGAATCACCAGCAGCTCCTTTATCACAGAGAATAATTAAATCACAGCAGCATCCTGACCTCTGCTGCCGCAAGTACAATGCTGAAAGAGCCGGGTTAGCACGGCTCAGGAACATGTGTCACTTTACTTTTTTAAAATTGTGATTTAAAAGAGCCTTCACAGAGGCATTCACAAGCTGTTTCAGGTCTGTTTGTGAAAACCTTCACTGGTTTTTTAAAGGTTGCTAAAAGAAGAAATCATGGAGACAGGTGTTGGTTTGGATGCAGGACAGTACAGAAGCCCTCAGATGAGCAGCTAAAGTAAACAAAAACAAATAAAAATGCTATAAAGTGTCAAAATCATAGACTGTATATACTATGGACAACTTGGTTCCGCCTTCCGCCAGTATACCGATTTGAAGCCAAAAAGCTCTCGGTAATTCCTTTTTTTTTTCTCCACTTCCTGAAACCAACATTGCGCAGCAGCGTTGTACGCATTAAGCAGGAGAGTCACTGAGAGTCACTGTGATGACGCTCGGCTCAAATAGCGTATCCCCTGGGTAAGCTACGCAGTCTTTGTACACCCATAGGCTGTATCAAGTGTCAGTCATAGAAAACATGAAAATCGAGCTGCACAGAAAAAAGAGGACTTGAGCACAAACCAGTCTTAAGGTCCTTTCACACCGGGACCATTTTTACGTGCGATTATTTCGGACGTCAATATTTTTTTTTTGACAAGCGTTCACATCAGCGACGTTTTCCCGTCCTGCGATATTGCGGCATTTATTTTTTCGGATCATGGTCAATCTTTCTAAAGTTTCTTATACTGTGTGTCCACTTCTGACCAATCAGATTTCGTGTTGTTGCGACTTCTGATTCACCGGTATATCCAACATGGCCGACCGGCTGATTATTTACGTGTCGGAGAACAGAGTGCTTTTTGATAAAAGACACAAATATTACAAAGATAACGACCTGAAGGACAACTTGTGGAGAGTCATAGCGTTGGATTTCTCATGTGACGATGGTTGTGTGCTAAACGTCTTTGTTTTAACTTTCATCTGTGCTAAGTAACTTTAGCTCGTAAGCTAACCTGTTCAGATACAACATACCATATGTATTTTCACTGTCTCAAACTCAATCACAGCATTGCTGTCACAGCACCATTAGGTCTCGGTTGTTATGCTTATGTTTATGGATTATAGTTTAATGTTCTTATCTGGTACTGGCCCCGACCCAGTACATGCTATCATGACAGACAGACATCTCAACACTAGTGTCTAATCGGAACTTAAAAACAGTCAGTCTGCTGTTGTGTCAGTCTTCTCACTTCCACCCGGGACGCGTCTTTTTTCTCCCTGGAAAGTTGCAACATCGCATCGGGCTTGATGTGTATAGTCAGGTGCGTCAAAATTCTCCACCGAATATTTCGTAATTTCGCGTTCTATATTCACGTTGGCCGCGGTGTATAAGGACCTTTACAGTAACTACATCTCAACATAGCAAACAGGGGGGAGAAAAATGTAATAAATTTCTAAAGTTCTAAAGACTCAGTCAGCCTCTGTTCCTCTCATTTCGCCGTCTTCATTTTTCTTTCAAAATTACATCAGATTATCTGAAAGGTTTCTCAAACCGGCACACCTGATTAGTCTTTGCAATATCCTGCTGTGTGTTTTTGCACAATTAATTTAGTAAAATAATGAAAATGTGTGTGCAAATTTGAGATGATAGAGAGGAAGAGGCAGACATCTTTTCTAAAGGTTAAACAATTTCTCCTTTTCTATCTAATTAAGATCAAATACTTTGGGGAGATTAAAAAATATATATCAATTTTAAATAATCAGCAATGTTAGACTAAGGCCATCCATCATAGTCAGCACACATTAAGTGCAGCTATTGTCTCAGTGTTCAAAGCCGTCACAGTGGCACAAGTATGCATTTATGATTTCTTTTGTTTAACATGAAGTTGAGGCGAGGAACAGAGTGAAAAAATGTCACGTACTTTTGAAAGTAGCTCAAGTGCTCCCATTGGCAGCTTCTTGAATCTGGTGCTCCAGTGCTCCTTCCTGATTGGTCCTGCAAACTCGGCCCATGAACCAATCAGCAGCTGGTCCCTGTACAGTCACACACACAGATTTTCTTACAACTAGTGATGGTGAGATGAAGCCTCATGAAGCATTGAAGATTTCCATCCAATTACTCGCCCCCCGGGCCGAAGCTTCATGATCGTGCTTCATTTGCTCTATTGCGCCATCAAGTGGACAATAAATGTAAAACAGGTAGAGTGATAAACCAAAGACACCCCGAGGCTTTGGTGCGCGAAGCTTTGAATTCAATGAATGAATGGATGTGATGCCGTGTGTTTGTGATACAATACATAAATGATGAAGTTATTAAAATGGTGTTTGTCTTTAAGACACAGTTGCAGTGTCAAAAAGGGGAAGAGGACATAAATTATGGAGAGAGTTGTGATGTGAATGTGCTTGTGTTACTTAGTTTGTTGTTCGTACTTTTGTTACGGGGACAACATATAAAACATAAACATTTCATTTATATTTATTTATTTTTATTTAAAAACAACTTTTCAACAGGTCTCGAGTCTATGCATTGTGAGTGGGGGAGGACTCCATTGCGTTTCGCTGTCTGTTAAATCATCCGCCAAACCCGCGAACCGTTTCTTGAATCAGTCACGTGGTATAGCCGGGTAGCGAGGCTTCGGACGTCATCATTTTTGGCTCCACCCCTACATGAAGCAAGCCTCGATACGCGCTTCGCGGAAACGCCCCCTTCATTACTCGACACACGTTTCGAAGCCTCGGCACTGAAGGACACATCACTACTTACAACTAATCTAGCGAACGTCATGTTTGGAGTTATGCTGCGTTCAAGTTACCTCAAAGGTCAGATGTCCGAGCTGGGAATGACGTCACACCCGAGTTACCAGTGTAAAGGTCCTTACACACCGTGGCCGATGCGAATATAGAACGCGAAATTACGAAATATTCGGAGGCGAATTTTGACATGCCTGACTATACATGTCTAGCCCGATGCGATTTTACGACTTTTCGGGGAAAAAAAGATGCGTCCCGGGTGGAGGCGAGAAGACTGACACAATTACTGCCTTAAGGTCCTTACACACCGGGAACAACACAAATATACAACGCAAAATTACGAAATATTCAGAGGCGAATTTTGACGGGCCTGACTATACATATCAAGCGAGATGCAATTTTGCGACTTTCCGGGGGGGAAAAGATGCATCTCACATTAAATCTCAACATCGCAGGATGGGAAAACTTCGCTGATGTGAACGCTTGTATTGACAGGATACAGGTTCGAAAAAAAATATTGATGTCTGAAAAAATCGCACGGAAAAAACGGTCCTGGTTTGTAAGGACCTTTAGTTGGAAAAAGCAAAATCGGAGGCGAAAACAAGATGGCTACATCTACAAAAGTTACTTTAGCGCTTGCCTTGTCCGAATATAAGCAAGGACAAAGCAAACGCTAAAATAACTTAGCCATGTTGTTTCCGCCTCCGATTTTGCTTTTTTCTGACTTGGTAACTGATATGCAGGTAACTCGGGTGTGACGTCATTCCCAGCTCGGACATCTGACCTTCGAGGTATCTCAAACGCAGCATTATTTTTCTAAAGCACTTATAGATTAAAATAAAGAATATGGTTTGCTATGAAGTTAAATTTTCACCCTGATATTTTCACTGACACAAAAGTATATTTGTGTCCATTGTCGTGTGCAGTACAGACTCATTCTTCAGTTGAAGCTATAGCATGCATTCGGAAATGTGCAATGCATACACACCTGTTTAACACTGTGTTGCTGTTTGTAGTCTTTACTGCTGTGCTGTAAAAATAGTTACAAAACCGGTGCCCTTTTTCACCTGAAAATCTCAAATTTCACAGCCTGTACTGTGATGCAGAGATACTCGAGCTTTGCCTGTAGGTGCATAAAAATTGAGTGAATTTTGGATAAGTTTAGTTCACTGTTTGCTGCAGCCCTCTGGAGTTGTGTCATTATGTTTGGCTTGTTAGTTCTGCCTGATAGCTGCAAACTGAACATGAAATATGCACTTAAAGCTTACATTCACACTCCAGAAGTCAAAAAGTATGTGCATCATAGCCTATTAAATGCAAACGGGGAAACAAATGCCGCTCTGCAGCACCTCCAGCTGAAAGCCTCTTCCTGTGGCTCTGTTCACCAGTATGAAACACATTTATGAACTTTGTATCTTGCGCCCACAGCAGTATGTGCTGCGTGGTGTTTGCAGAAAGCTGCTGGTGTTTGAGCCGGGGAAGCATTTCCAGCATCATGGGACACTTGTAGAAACTTTCCTCCCTCAGAATCAACCCAGTGTTTGAGGTGAGTCAGCAGCTGCTGGAGGGGGACCCAAAACAGCTTTTACAAACTGTTAAATAACCTCCTTTCTCTGCGCACTGCACACTCCCTCCTCTCATCACATACAGTAAATCAGCAGAGGAGTGTAAACTAGTTATTAAAGGTGGGGTAGGCAGGATCTGAGGAAGTGTCAGTTTTGGGGAGAAATCTTGAATGTAAACACTACCTCTACCATCCAGTTTTCCCCTCAGCTCCTCCTCTCCCCTCCCTCTCTGCTCCAGCAAGCCCCGCCTACAAACAGACGCTCCTGTTAACTTGAATCGTTTCAATAAAATTCCGATATAATGCAGATAAATACTTAAGATAATCAAAAATGGGGCCCAGTAAACATGAAAGTAAAAAGGATTGGTGCTACTGTAGATGCCGACAGACTACCAGCAAACACAATGTTGTTTTCGTTGACGAAAATATTTAATCAACGCCCCTTTTTTTCCACGACGAAGACGTGACGTTGACAAGCTAAACATAGATCTTAGATGACTAAAATGTGACGAGACGAATGTGTGTTTACGTTGACCAGACGAGACTAGACGAAAATGTTAGTAGTGGACGATGAACAGAGTTGCAAAATTCATGAGCATTTCATCAGTCAAATGCTAAATATATATTCTGCGGTGTTGTTTTCATTGACGGTGACACAATGTTTGCAGGACTTCTCCAACTAGGATAAAGTGACAAACTCCAGGACCCGAGATAAACAGTTTAGCGGTGCTACAAAACGCAGCAGGTCCCGTTTGACAAGAAACACTTCTGTTACACTTGGCTTACTTTGTTAAAGCGGTTTACCTGTCCAGCAGAAAGGTTACAGGGTCCGTAAGATCCTGAAGCATCCCCTATCATTTATGCTGATGTTGACCTGGCTTCTTAGCTCTTGTCCGGTCTACCTCCTTTTTAAGCGCTCGTTATTCTGCCAGAGTCTCCGGTATTTAGTTTGTTTTATTGCTTGTGTTTTCTGTACTTTCTGGTTGGTTTCTACTGTCTGATGTTGAACCATGCTAACTTTGTTTGGGCTAACTTTGTTTGGGCTTGTGCACGTTATTGGAGGACGAGGAGCATGCCCCACAACACGAGGGAGCAGCGTCTGCCTCACAACCAATCAGGTTTGGGGAGGTGGAGAACGGCTTTGTTTACAGTCAGAAAGAGCGGGACACTCAAAAAATCTAAAGTCTTGACTACACAGACATAACAAAATACAGTGATATCATTATATTCCCAAATGTCATCAATAACTCACAGCTATTGACTGATATTAAAAGCCTTTTTGTATATACACCACAAAAATGATGCTTCTTTCAGGGAATCCTGCCTACCCCACCTTTAATATGGATATTTACACATGCATCTTTTATACCTGGGAAAAATGAAGATTTAGTTTTGCCAAAAAAATCTGCTTGAAAAAAATACTTTAAAGTTTAGCTTTAATAAGTAATCTGATAACCATCCTGTGGGGCAACTAACCTGTCTCACCTGCTTTGTTTGTTATATCTGTTCATTTTCAGGTGGAATCCTTGATTAAACAAACACTTCCTTCAACTAGAAATAAGTCAGTAAAAATACAAGAGGTTTAACTTCTCAGAGAAATCTGAAGAGACTTTTCTTCTTTGCACCATAAGTTCTTTTTTCAGCCCGAGGCATGGAGGTGATTTATGCAACAAAATCGCCTTTTTTCAAGAAGAAAGAAAGTGATTTGAGGGTTTTTACTCCAGTCTGATCATCATCATAAACTCAGCATCAACAAAAACTCTCCGCGTCGTGACTCACTCAAACATTTCTCGCCTCACAACCATCAACATCATCTCAGCGTCCTCCTCCACAAACAAAACACATTATCCTCCCTCCACAACACCATCACCTCCTCTGGATGGAGTCCGGTTCTGCTTCCTCATCCTTAGTAACCCATAATCCACTCCAGGCTATACATAATCATAAGCAACACATATGGTGCCAGGAAATTTGTGCTGACGTGCAGAGAAAGCAAGACGAGAGCAAAAAAAAAAAACAAGGAGAATTCAGATGACGGCCGAGTCCAGGGAAATAAATGCTGACTGAAGAGGAAGCAGAGGAGGAAGAGCACTCCAGGGAAGCTGCTTCAGGCGGGAAATCCACAAAGTAGAGCTCCTAATAAAAGTGCACTCTGGTTTATTATTTGGGTTACTATATGATGGACTATTAAACATTCTGCTGGAGGAGTTCCTGAACAACTTTTTGGGCCGAGCAGCAGAAGAATTCAGGACGTTTTTCATCCTGGAGAAGTGAGCAGCTAACTTCCCACAGGAGAGAAGTGGGCTCTTTATTATGTCGGGGAGCAGAGGAGACTGTGAGGTGGCTTTCAAACAGACCTTGAGTCTTAACCTTGCTCAAAAGCTACAGCAGCATCAGACTTTTAATTCAGCTCCTGCTTTTTTTTTTCTTTTCTTTTTTTTTTGTGGGATTTTCAAGTAGCTGCAACGTCTGACTGAACAAACTGCATCTGCTTAAAGATAAGACTTTTATAAAGTATCAATTAATGTTTTAAGTTTTCATTGTGTGCATTTTGATTGGGAAGATTTACCTTCATAAGAAAGTACAACTATGAACAAAAATGACCAAATTTTGCAGAAATGCATTGGACATGTTCATGCAAAGCTGAATGTACACTCAGTACGTTTACATGACACTCAAGAAAACCAAATTTTTGCCTAAAGGTCCTCACACACCGGGAACGATGCAAATGAGAGGAAAAGTGCAGCACCTTTTTTTTCCCTTTAAATGCACAGAGAAAATGCTCATGTTAGCTTTTAATGCATTTAAAGCATTTATCATATCAGTAACAGTCTTACCTTTGCCTTGCAACTCACAGTTCAAACTGTTCACTTTCCCAGTAATGTCCGTTAAAAATGCAAGGTCAAGTGTCCAGTCAGTGTCCTCCAGCAGCGAGGTATCTTCCCCTCTGGACTGCATGAACTCTTTGATTTCACTCAAAAGTGACAAAAAAAAAAACGAAGCAGAATTCATCCACTGCTGAGCCATCGGATTTCTGTGTGTAGTAGCAGGTCAACATATTCAGCTGACAGCTCCTCCAAAAGTACCTTGAATGTTCGGTGCTGTTTAGCTTTGGAACGGATGCTGTTCATGATCTTTACAACGGGAGTCATCACATGCTCAAAGCCGATCACTTTTGCACATAAAGACTGCTGGTGGATGATGCCGTGGTAATGCAGAAAGTTTGGGAACTCTGTGTCACCTTTACAGTGAGCAATGAATCCTGTGTGTCGGATACCAGCTTTTCAAGCGGCACCTTTTTATCCGCCAAAAACTCCTTGACCGCGTGATAGATGTCAACTCCCCTGGTAGTTGTCTTTAAGGGCAGAAGTGTCAGAAGTTCTTCTTTTGGGGAGAAATCAAACACCATCCTGATGAAGACCATCAGCTGCGCTGTACTGCTGCTGTCCATCGACTCGTCACACTGGATACTGAACCACCTGAACCTCAACAGATCACGGTCCAGCTGGTCGACCAAGTTTGCAGACATCGCCAACACTCTTCTTACCATCGTTGATGCCCCTAGTTAAACATCAGAGAGCGTGGAGATTACATCAGTTCCGTATTTATTGTCTTCAAGCACAGTTTTAGCAAATATCATCATTGCTTCTTTGACAACCGCCCCATCTGAAAAGGCCTTCTTTTTCTTAATCAAGAATTGCGTAGCTCTTGAGGCTACGGTTGCTTTTTTGTGTAAGTGGTCAGTGAATGTCATACCAGTCATATATCATCTTAGTTGTTTTTTCTCTCTTTTGTAAATCCAGTCCAAAAAGCTTGTGTAATATATATATATATATATATATTAAGTTTGTGAAATTTCTTTTACTTTTATTACAAAACACAGTACAGTATATTTTCTCATTAGTTAAACATTAAAAATATTTGGCTCCTTATTTTCCTAGTATTGAGTCGTCCTCCATCTAAGCCCCTCCCAGCGGCACAAGTTGTAAAGAGGGAGGGGAGAAGGCGTGGAGTGAGTTTAACACAATCACATAAACTCCTCTCCTCAACTTTAAATGTGCCACAAGTGAGGCATATTGCATTGAAGTGTGCAACTTTGTGTTTACAAGAAAAGACCCGCATGTCCACCAGACTGGCCAGATTATTTGTGACCCCTCAAACCGTAAAATTTCAAAGCTTTCTTACCACCAACCATTGTCATAAAAAAAGTTAAACCATCACCAGTTGGCAAAAAAAACAGGTTGATGATAAAAAAAAATGTAGCTAGACAATTAGAGTGTCTGTGTAACTTAAAAGGAGTTTGTTAAACTCTATTGACTGTCCACTTCACTATTGTAGATGACAGGAAACACAGACCTGAGGAAGTCAATAGATCTGCAGAGGATTTGCGGTTTCATTTTATCAACAGCATGCTAACCCTAAAGTTGTTAGGCAGTATCAAGTACATTTTTGAACATGTTTTAGGTCATATAAGTTGGTATGTGGTTTCTGACACAGCAGAAGACCGGGACTGAATGGTCCAAAACTTCCTGGAACCTTTATAGAAGTCCTCCTTAAAATAAAATACATAAAATAAAAATGCATAAAGTAAAAAAAGATATTTATTTTTTTAAAGTTCTGGTGCCACTCTCTCTGTTTTGCAGTTACCGTTTCATTTGCAATAAACAAGCAACCTTTGCAAGTAGTTCTTGTGTCCTTCCCACATTTGTCATGGTCCTGGAGCCAGGCTATGACAACTAAAACATTAAATAAATAAAATATCTGGATACATAGTATTTCAGGAGTCCTCCTGTTTTGTTCACTTTATCCTTTTTTCCCCCTGACGTACTGTATGTTCCTAACGTTCAGAAGACGAGGGGATTTTACTTTGAAAATCCAAAGCGGAAATGTCACTGTTTACATCAGCCTCCTCGTCTCTCCTTCTCTGCAGTGTAGTAACCAAACCCGTATAGCCTGCTAGTGTGGTGTTACGAACCCTTAGTAATGACAAAGTGACTGTATGGATTAGTTCTTTGTTATTTTATGTCCGTAACTTAAATTAAACTTGTTGAGATGAGCTAAGGCTGTTTTTACCTCTGTGAGACTGTAAAGACGGTATGTCCTCTCCTCCTCGTCAGCATACGTAAAGGTTACTTAACAGCTTCATTAGTTTGCTTTGTGTTTTCGGGATGATTCATTCATACGATCAACTTACTTTTAACTAAAAATCTTTCAAATCAGAAGTTCGAAGCGTTTTAGACAGAAAGGTTAATAATGACAAACTGAAGCGTTATACATAGACAGGTATATCTGACTTTACTTCTCTGTACGTTTTTAACCTGAGAGGGTACTACTTTTGTTTATTTTTTTAACTGAGCTTAGATATTCAGTTTGACTTTATAGCGATTCTTATTATTTTGTATTAGTAGATAAAATATCACCTAGTACCTGGAAATACCCTATTTAGCACATCTCGGACAAAAATCACACTTGAACGTTTACAAGAAGTTCCTTTGTAGTTTGGATTGAGATTAAAAACTAATTATGAAAAAAAAAAAAAAAACTATTATAATCACTGTATTAAGGCTATTGTAATTATGCAAACACATCATACCATGTAGAAATTCAAGTTATATTGTCAGTTTACATAGTATTTATTTTCTATGACATGGCTCCAAACCGCAGACTTGTTAACAGTAACATGCATGAAGGGGTTGGGTCAGTTTTCTCTTCTTTTGTATTTTTGTAATATGGTAAATGAATTTAATGATACAAGAAAATTCACAAACTAACTGCTCCACCAAAGTGGCAGAAATTATCAAATAATAAATACAAGGAGTATCTTAACTATCTCTAACCTGAGAATTGTGAAATAAGATAAAGTAAGTGATGCGATCAGTGCTGCGAATCAATTGGTTTTCTTACCAGTACAAAAAAATAATACCATTTTAAAGGGATTAAGATCGCATAAATAAAGTACTTCATGTTGAATTTTGAAGGCTGAGCAGAGTCAGTGTTCAGATTCCTGCTCTAACTTGCTCCAAATACTATATTACGTGTCTCTTTTTTTCCCTCTAAAATTAGGATTGTTATTAACTAAATACAAATTATGCATAAAAGAGAAAAGATTTTGCCCAAAAGAAAGTGTAGAAATGACAGATTTTGGAAGTTTTATTGTGTTTGACACTGAGACTCACAGACCCACTTCACATTTAATATCCTAATGTAAGTGGATTTCCAGGCTGTGTTTAACCGACTGTTATCATGATTCAATCAGGCACAAAAGCTTGCAAACACAAATCTAAAGAGATTGCATGTTTGAGACAGCCTCACCCACCTTCACTTTGCATGGAAGAAGGAGATTTGATCCTGCTGTCTTCTGCTGCGAGATTTATGAAAAAGGTGATTTTTCTGTGCAGGTCTTTCTGATGGCGGTCTTGAACCTGTCCTTTGCTGCATGTGGTTTCCTGGGGATCTACCACCTGGGGGCTGTGGGGGCGTTTCTCCGTCATGGGGACAAGCTGATAGGTTCCCTTAGAGCCTGTGCGGGGGCCTCAGCCGGGGCCCTGGTGGCTGCAGTGATGGTCACAGCTCCTGACAAGTTAGAGGTAGAGTTTTTTTTTTTTTTTTTTAAACATCTTTATTCATCCCACAGACAGTCTGAGAGAGAACCCGTAGGGGGGTTTTAGCTCCCAGAAGACAATAAGAGCAGATTTTATACAATTATTTCAAATAAAACAGTAAAATTAGAGAGTTTTAGTGCAGCAGCCTCAGACTCACTATCATCACTCTCATTCCTCCTCAGTATTTCCGACAGTTTTACAAACCTGGAGTGTTGAATTAAAGACCCTGTCAGGGTGAAGTGCTTTCTCAGATACTCACATCAAAGATTTGACATCCAAGGAAGAAATCTGTCTGTCCTATCAATATTTAAACACTTGCCGAGTCTTAAAAATGAATGAAGTAACATCTAAAGATCACAAAATCACAGCCATACACGATGAACTACATTTGGATTTCAAATAAAGAAATTTTCCAGTGAGATATTTTTAGAAGAAGGAGTTTATTGAAGATACTCAAAATGATCTGTGGCTTGTAAACTGGGACAAAATTTCAGAAAAAGTAATATAGACATGAGACAGTAGAGGATGAGTAAAAACAAGTGAAATGCTTTGATTTTTTACTCAACTAGGACTTTTCTAAATCTTGTGTTTTTCTATTGTACAATCACAAATATATCGTAAATTAGCAAAAGAAAGGAAAGCTTGCACCAGTCTAAAATCCTTTCTTTGCAGTGGTATGTTACGTTGGATGGATGTTTTGTTATATTTGGTTGCATCTGCGCAGCTCTTTTAGCCACATTGTTGGTGCACTAATGCACAGTTGGAAAAAAAAAAACAGAGTGTAACTTAATAAAAGGTGAAAACAGTCACAGCTAAGTTTGTTCCCTTCTTTTGCAGCACTGTAAAGACTTTACCTACAAGTTTGCTGACAGCGTGCGACAACAAAGGTTTGGGGCCGTCACACCAGGATTCAACTTCATGCTCACGCTGCGGTAAATATTCAACATGCACCGATGTGGGACTTAGCAAAAAGTAGGGGCGGGAGAAAAAATAGATACAGCACAGTATCGTGATATTTTGTCTGGTGATATATCGTATCATCTCATTTGCCAAGTATCAATTTTTTCAAATTAATTGTTGATATGAAGTCAAATCTATGATGATGGAAAAATAAAATCAACTGTTTGTTCAGTGAGGTTGTTAGAGGTGGCATCATGGAGCAGGAGAAAGTTAGTGCAACAAATATATACATATATAAATAAGGTTTGCAAGATGTGCTACATGAAAATAAAATACTGTGTAAATAAGACAAACATAAAGGAAAGACAAATGCTAAACTAGCTAAGTTGTTGAAAAAAAATTATAAATCGCAATATATGGTATTGCAATACTCTCTTTATTGCAAAATGTTAAAAATCACAAAAATATATTGATATGATCACAATATGATCAAGTATCGTGATCATATCATGGCCCAAGTATCGTGACAATATCAAATCGTGGTCCAAGTATCATGATAGCATCGTATCGTGGCCCAATTATTGTGATAATATCGCATTGTGGCCCAATTATCATGATAACATCGCATTGTGGCCCAAGTATCGTGATAATATCGTGTCGTGGCCCAAGTATCATGATAATATCGTACCAGGGCCCAAGTATCATGATAATATCGTATCAGGGCCCAAGTACCATGATAATATCGTATCATGGCCCAAGTATCGTGACAGTATCGTATCGTGTGGCCACTAGTGATTCCCACCTCCAGCAAAAGCTGCTTATTACTCAAAGGATTTAAAGGATGCAATTCTTTAATTCAAATCTCTAATTTGTTCTGTAAGATACTGTGAGCTCCACTTTTTGGGGTTGCAGAGGTACACTTGGTACTGCTACAGAAGGCTGTAGGAGCAGTTAACGCTGCACCAAAGCAGACAACATAAAAAAAAAAAAAAGATATCACGCAACTGCAGAGAGAAGATTGGCTGCAAAGTTGACTCTGAAATACAAGTTTAGACTTAAGAGGATTGATCTAAATTGGGACTCCAGGTCTAAGCAGCAGGAAGAGGCGGTCATGAGCCCACTCCCCCCTCGTTAGTATGCTGCCATGGTTCAGTGTATGTTGAACAGATTGAGTAATAATTACTTGTCGATAGAAAGAGCAGTGTTTTTATGACGCCCTGAGGGGATTCAGGCATTAAAACCCTGACAAATGATTGTGTGTGTGTGTGTGTGTGTGTGTGTGTGTGTGTGTGTGTGTGTGAACTGTCTCCAGGGAGGGGATTGAAGAGATTCTCCCCGCTGACGCTCACAATCTGGCCTCTGACCGCCTCCACGTCTCCATAACTCACTCAAAGAGCGGGAAGAACCACCTGGTGTCCCGGTTTACCTCCAGGGAGGAGCTCATCCAGGTACACAAGCCCGATCTGTAAATAAAACACAAATCCTTTAAGTTTTAAAGCGTCATCATAAATGTTTTATGTCCTGGTGTCTTTACTTTTACAGCTCAGTGTTTGTTTTTTATGACTTCGACCTGAAGATGACACCGACAAAGTCACTCCTGTGTCATAAACATTCACAGTGTCATGTGTTTATATACATATATTATACATCCAAACAAAGTTGCTGCTTCTCCTTTATGTGACATTTGCAGAAAGTTTTCTCCATGCGAGGAATTTTAAGGATGTATTAAAAAGTTTTGAGAACACATTGAGGTAGCTGCTGTTTAATGTGTTTCCAAAAATCCGACTTCACCTGAGTTGCATTCCTTGTATATCACATAACTTAAATCTAGTATTTTTTTAATTTTAAATATTCTTTTGAGAAGGTTTTTAATTTGCATTTTGTTGTCTATTTTTTTTTGCAAAATCACTGTAAAAATGTCTGGCATCATACAGAAAAAGCTCCTGAAATTTTGTGATCGAGTGAAAAACGATCTGCTCTTTATGAACTTTGTTACTAAACATGCTGAAGTTACAGCTACTGAGCATCTTTCTGCAGTTTTATATGACTCAGTCTTAACTTCCCTCCTTCAGGCTCTCCTAGCCAGCAGCTTTGTGCCTGTCTACGCTGGACTCAAACCCATGGACTTCAGAGGACAGGTCATTGTTTATCTTCCTCAGATCTTTCTCGCACAGACTGATAAAGCTATAACTGACTTGTGTTGATTTCCTTTTGATATTCCAGAAATGGATCGATGGCGGATTCACCGACAGTCTACCCATTCTGCCTGTAGGACGAACCATCACCGTGTCTCCTTTTGCCGGACTGCAGGATGTGTGTCCGGTCCACAGGGGGCGCCTCAACACTCAGCTCAGACTAGCTAACATGAACATTATGGTAAATACTCAACGATTACGTCACACTGGTCTGATGGAGGGAGTTTGATACACCTGACAGATAAGTGTTTGTAATATTTGAACGGATTTGCCCTTTAGGTCTAGTTTTTCACTCAGCTGCAACATCTTTTTCGGACTTTAATGAAAAATACTGCCACACCGTCGACATCACGCCTACTCTTTCGTACTTTGTTTGTACCTTAGTACACGCTGTCGTTGTGATTTTGCGGGCTCAGCTTGCTGGATCAGGGCGCTGCTAGATAGAGGTGCTGGAGCGGAGTTTAGAATGGACTGCTTGCATTGGAATGCTGATATTGGAGATTTTAGATGCAGGCCGATATAATCCGATATTTGTTTTTTTGCTGACATCCCTAATAAGAATAGTCAGGCTCACAAAATGCATGTTTTTACCGTGCAGGATCAGAGAGTAGAGCTTATTTAGAAAGAAAACATGGAGTGGATGAACCATAGATAGTTTCAGACCAACAAATGGTTCACTAGATCCCCAGAGGTCCACAAACTTGGTTCACAGGAAGATTTTATCAGCTGCTTTAAATGACTAAATTTTCCTGTTTCGTTCCTGTAATCCAGCCTGAATCTACCTCTCTAATCTAGCTTTTTGGATTAAAGTTATCCCAAAACTGTTGGATTCATCAGGATAAAAACTATGACTGGCTTACCTGATATACCCAGAGTTCTTTGTATCTAATCCAATCTGATAATTATAATCTGATGAGATTACTTTTGAAGATCTGGGCTCTGGAGTCCATCATTATTAGAAAAATAACAATCACATTTGGAGAAAACTGGAGTACTTCCAGACTCTCTTCCAGTCAGATTTGTCCCCATGATTTTAGAGGCGAGTAGAGCAGACGTGTAACTTTCAAGTAGAGAGAAAATTCAAAGACCAAACACTGGATTGGGGTTATGTGTAGCACACTCATGTTCCAGTCTATATACAGTAGATTAGAGCTGATTTTTGTTGAACACTGAGGCCTTGAGGAGAACTTTTCGTATCCATGTGTTTTTTTTTAGCAGTTTTTAATGATGTGACTTTGTTGGGGGCTCATAACACTGTTGAATCCACCTGCATTTGGCGCTTGGTGGGTGTTAATTTAAGACCTAGGGGTGCCGTTAAAAAATTTTAAGCTTGTAGTTGACCTTTGGTTGAAAAATAATTGGTTTGCAGAGCTGTTTTTGAAGCTGATAACAGTTTGTGTTGTTTCCTTGACTCTCTGATTGCAGGTGGGTAGATGAAAACGTGGACAAGGCCTAAATGAGCTTTTTGCTTCTGCCTGTTAAGAGCGTATGGATGTATGATGAGTAGAAAATAAACCACTGAAACTTTTATTCAAGGTCCTAAAATCAAGGATTTGTCATCTTGACCTCTAACGTTCGCCGTCGTTGATCTTGTTATGCTGTGCTGAAATGTCATCTCTTTTCCTCTTTCATGATAAATTCTGTTTGTGTCTTTCAGTGGGAACTATATTTTCTGAAGATTTTCTGTCAGACTTTCTTCAAAAAAATCTCAAGATCAATTTTGTGTTTTCTTTCATTTCCTCAGTTCTCAGTGGAGAACATCAAACGTCTCAACCAGGCTCTGTTCCCTCCATCTGGCAGAACCATGGCGTCTTTCTATGAAGAAGGTTTTAGTGACGCTGTGAGATTCCTGAAGAGAGAAGCCTGGACGAGCTGATGAAAAAGAGACATTTTTAAACATTTTAAAGGTTTTTATTTATTGGGTTTTTTTTTTTCTTTTCTGAGTGAAACATCCCGAGTGTTTCCGTGGAGTGATGTTATCGGTTTGCTTGGATCTTTCTCCTCCTCCGTTTTTATTTATAAAGCCGAGCATGAAAGAGTGTGTGAGCCTCCTCGGTCAGATAAATGTTATCACACACACACTCTGCTCTTTCTGCTCTGCTTCATGTGACAGCAGCAGAACATGATGAAGAGCGCTCGTGAAAACACGGACTCCTCATCAATTTTCCAGGGAGGCTTTTAATTTCCCTCAGCTGGAGGCAGAGTGAGTGTGAGAGAAAGAGAGAGAGAGAAGGGGGGGTATTGGACAGCGCAGCGGTTCACAGGATGGCAATGCTGCCGTCATGGAAGTCGGCGCTCCCTCAGGATGGAGCGGCGTCTTTGAAGTGCCGGACTCTTCTGCAGGGTTTCTGTTTGATTCCCTCCAGCATCACAGGCGTGAGCAGCTTCTCCATGTTGGAGGAGACACGCAGAGCTGCTGCTGCTGCTGCTGCTTCTCTGGGGAGGAAGGGTAATCGATTATATTGTAATATCCACACACAGTCAGGCTCTTTTGCTCAAAAAAAAGGAACCACCGGGGATGAAGCAAGACTTTTAAAGAGTGGAAATCTATACTTTATTTTAATTTGGAATGTCCCAAAACAGTCCAGGGGGCGGCTCAAAAACAGATCAGGATCTGGTTTCCCAGAAGCTACATCAAACCAGAGTGATTGTAAAATCCATCTTTGATTGGAAGGAGTTTCCCACCAGCTTTAGGAGTCAAGAGAAACTATGTCATGGTCAAATCCTGTTCACTGAGTTCTGAGCAGGAAAACAGACTCAATACAATCAGTCTGAGTTTAAAGTCTACAGAAAATTACTTCAGTAAGTTTTTGATCATGAATGAAATAGATTCATTTTTATACAGCTGTACCGAGCATGACCATATGACTTACTGAGTTAGAAGTGTGTAAAAGACACTCGATCCCACCCAAAAAACTCTCTTATTTAACTTCGTGCGACTCCATGACTCCGCCCCCTGTGTAGCCGTGTCCTCTTTTTCAGAAGTCAGAATATGGTCACCCTAGCTGTATCCAAAAGCAAAAATGACCATCAATGACAAGACGGACAATTTTAGATTAGGGCTGGGCGATACGGCCTCAAATCAATATCACAATATATTGAGCAGTTCACTTCAATTACGATAAATGAATGATAACTACTCCACAAGCTGCTCACCCCCTTCCACATTAATTTTGTCTACCATAGCCACCGCTCCAGTCGCTAAAACTTTTGAACCGTCCTCCATCTCCTCACCTGTCTTTCACCTCTTTGTTACGTCTCTGATGTAGGACAGTGTCTTAAAGGGACATAAGACCATAGCCTGCCTACACACATCCAAAACCAACTTTTATTTATTCATGACGTCAGTTATTGTCATAAATTTCGGTATCAGTAAACTTTCGGTTTATCGCCCAGCCCTATTCTAGATCTTCGCTTCTCATTCCTGAAACTGCTATCTCTGCATTAAATGACACTTATAACTGTCTAAATTTAGCCGGAGGAGATTATTGGTCAGAAATCACCGTTTAATCATGTAGAGGGCGGGTTAATCAAAGACTGCTGTCTCCACAGGGGGCGCCAAATCTGACACAAACTAAGTTCCTCACAGAAGCTTTAAAAATAAAGTGATGTTTATCATCTGTATGAGCTTGTGGATGTTGCTCCTTGATGTTTTGGATGTTTTCCTGTTCCAACACACCTGATTCAAATGATCAGCTCCTTAGTAAGCCATCACAGAGCTTGATAACGAGCTGATCATTTGAATCAGGTGTGTTGGAGCAGGGAAACATCTAAAACATGCAGGACAGAGTTAAGATAAATCTTTTTCATCAGTCAAAGATTAAAATTTTAGACCTCAAAGTTGATCCAAAGGCTACTGCAGTGATTGATTTATTTTAACATCTTAAACAGAGGCCTCTACAGCCACAGACACTAGGTCAACAGCAGCTGACTCTGCAGGAATCATTTCCCCATCTGGCATGAAAGAAACTGTTAGAAATCTGTTTCTTAAGTCATGGTGCTCGGATATGTTCAGTTAGAGGTATTAGCTGCCCAGGCTCAAGTATTTAGGCAAAGATACCCTTTCTTATGTGGTTTTATTTCACTGAAACTCATGCATGAGCTTCAGCAGTTTAGATGAGTTTGAATCTGGTTAGTGAGGACCAGGCTCCCTGAAGCAGAGATGGGAACTGTGGAGTCACCAAGTCATCTCCATTCTGCTCTGTCACTGAACCAGCTGCTTCCAATGAGCAGCCAGAAAGGTGAGCTCATTAGTGAAGGCACCTGGTTCAGTAACTGAGCAGAACAAATACATGACAAGGAGATGACTTGGTGACTCCACAATTCCCATCTCTGCCCTGAAGAGTCTGTGTCAAACAGCTCACTCACAAAGGTCAAAGAGTCGTCCACCTACTGAGCATGTTATGGTCTAAAAGAGGTCTAACAGACATCTAAATGTAGCCTAGTGAGTACTTGGTAAACAGTTATGCAACTCACAGTTGCTTTTTGAAATAAATAGTTATCAAATAATGAGTTAAAGTGCAACGTCTAAATTCCATCTAATAATATAAAGAATCTTGACGGTTGAAATTAGGTCTAAAAAAAACTAGACGTCTCATAGCCGTTTTTTGCTCAGTGGGCAGGGGCTCCAAACTTTTTCAAACTCCAGGGGTTCTGTCGTCATGTCTTTGTGAAGTTAAATAAAGATAGTTCGAACCTCTAAAGGATCAGGAGTGGTTATGTTTATGAAAACCTTCCTCCGCTGTATTCTGATCACAAACTCTGCAGTAATGGAGCATTCAAACTCGTCGTTTACACATAAAAACAAACATGTAAAATAGCTTCCCTGTGTACAGCACAAACACACACAGATGTTTCCTGCAGCGTCTCCCTGCTGCTCTTATGTAATCCCACCTGCTGGTTCTGCTAATGAGGCTCCATTAAGGCTTCCCTTAAATTACAGTTTCCACCCGGGGCGAGAGATTCCCCGCTTTTGTTTACGGCTGCTGTTGTTTCAGCTCGTCTTGTTGGAAAATTCAGCCCTCAGTCTGGAAACAGGCCAGCTGAAGGAGCTGCTTTATTACCGTCATTATTCAAGCAGCTGACTTTACTGTAAAGAGCTGCACACACACACACACAAAGAGAGAGTGTGTGACAGCTCTGTTAGCACGTTTACGCTGAAAACAGAAACTGTGACAGTCTTATGGAGTCCTGTGAGGAGTGTAGATCAGTCCGCTCCTACTGGTCCTGCTCGCACTGACAGAGCTGTGAGAAAGAGGAGCAGCAGGGCTGCATCCAGGGCCTCCACAGCACGCTCCCCGCTGTCAGCTGACTCTCACCGGGCGCCACCGACCTCTGATGTGTCTCCGCGGCCTCGTTCATCACGGCCAGGATGGAGCTGAAGGCGGGCTCGCTGTCGGGAGTCAGTGGGTTGCTCTCTGATGGGTCCCTGGAGAGGTCGAAGAGCAGCGGAGGATTGTGATAGGTCACGTCGCCTGACTCGCAGAAGCAGATGTGCGTGTGGAAACATGCCGTCTCGTTCTCTGGGTAGAAGTTCGGTGTGAAGTAGAAAGCTTTCCACACTGAGGCACCTGAAGAAAACACGAGTACAAACAGTGATAGCGAAATAATCAGAATAAAGATCGTATTTGTGCTGTAGTCTTCAAATCCGAGTTGCAGAGAGCTTTGTGTCTAAAGACAGTGATTAAAACATGGTCAGGCAATTCAAGTGGATTTTAGGGAGAGCTTTAAAAGAGTGCACTAAATTAGGAAACTGATATCTTTTAACCTGGGCTCTGTTTTTACAGATTCCTTTTACCCTTAAAGATGGAGGAGTTGCAGGTCTACCACATCCTAACTTGGCAGATTTTTTTGAGCCAATAAAGAAGTTTTTGTCATAATAGTTATTTTAAAACCAACATGGCATATTTTTGAATCGAATTAATACGAAAAAAATTACTGGTGACAAGGCAGCAGTCACCAGCGAATTAAGTAAGTAAAATTTGTGTTTTTTTTAACAGCTGTTCAAAACTTGTCTACCTCCTAAACAAAGAGCTCCATTTCTGCAGGGGTAATTTCAGTAAAATTTGACAATAGAACTTTGAGAAGAACAATATGAGCCTGTCAGGGGCAAAAACAGGAACTTTTAACATCACACTTTGATCAAAATCTGGATTTCCTTGCAGCTCATCTACTTCTACAGCCTGATGCAAAACAAGGCCCAGGTTAAAACACATCATAATCCTACTTTGAAGGGTCCTAACCCTGAAAAACTGTGGCCTCATTCACAAAAGGATTGCATTGGTTCTCTGCCTGCTAAATCTGTGCAAATGAGCACAAACATTCTCTATTTCAAAGTGGTTTGAGTGCACTGCAAACTGGAGTTGTTTGCGTATGTGTAGATTTGCGGTTCTGCATGCATTAAGGGCAAAGTAGGCTCCTTTCTGTCGGGAGTCTAGCACCTCCCCACAGCTGATGGGAAACTTGAGTGAGTTGGTGATGAGTACCTCCAAAAGGAAGTTGGGTAACACTTAATTTGACACCTATCTCTATAACACATTATAAACATATTTATAATGTGTTATAATCACATTAAAGCATTGTGTAACAATTAGGGCCCGATACCGATTATTAGGGGGGAGTAAAATCAGATTACCGATTAATCGGCCGATTTTTTAAATTTAAAAAAATATATATATATACACTGTACATATCTACAGTATACTATATACTGTAGATATACTGTAGGCTACTGCTCTTTACGCTGACAGGAAGACCGACTGATCAAACTCAGACCAGAAAAACGTTTTCAACTAACTGTTAACAACTCACTGACAATGCCCACATAGATAATGGAATGCAACTGTTGTTAACAGTTATAACACATTATAATACCTTACCTTGTAAATCATGATAAAATGCATAATAATGTGTTAAGATTATTGCTTTATAGCAGTGGTTCTCAAGTCCAGTCCTGGAGGCCCACTGTCCTGCACACCTGATTCAAATGATCAGCTCGTTATCAAGCTCTGTAGTGGCTTACTAACGAGCTGATCATTTGAATCAGGTGTGTTGGAGCAGGGAAACATCCAGAACATGCAGGACAGTGGGCCTCGAGGACTGGACTTGAGAACCACTGCTATAAAGCATTTATTAGTGTTTATAACTATAGTTATACAGTGCTATAACCTGATTATAATGCATTATACATATACTTATAATGCGTTATAGAGATAGGTGTCAAATAAAGTGTTACCTGAAGTTGCCTACAAAATGTGACATTTGTGTCATGTCTTTCATGAAAAGGTAAGAAATGTCTCTCGCATATGTGGATATAATTCAGGAAGGGAGTGCACAGCAGCTCTGTGCAGCAAAGAGTGGAGATACTGATAGTTCATTCAAGTCACAATCTAATGCAAACTGTACAGAGCTGCAGAACTTAGTGAGCATTTATGGGCTTGAAACAATTAGTACAAACAAAGACACTTTATGCTATAAATGGCTGCAATCTGTTTAATTACAATACAGGCTGTTTCTTTGCTGCAGGCTGGAGTATAACTGTTTGTCTCTGTGTGTGGAAATCCTCTCGTGCAGATGGACTTACTGTTTGGAGGATGCCATCGAACTGCGTTCAGGTGGCTGCTGCAGTAATGGAACAAAAACTCGTGTTTTGACCTTTGAACTTTCCCCTGAAGTAAATCCATGAGGTCATGGCCGTCAATCTCCCTAAAGGGGTGGAGAGAAAACAACAACTGAATGAGACATGCAAACCCAGCAGCTGCTGATGAAAGCTCATGGATTACCTTAAAACCCCCTCTTCATTTTCAAACGTGATTTCCTCTGGTTCTGACTCACTGAGAGCTCAGAGAGGAGCAGAGTGGCTCTCTTTTAAATATGACCCAGATTTTAGACTCCACTCGCTCTGACTGACATGTTTGAGGAGCCCTGCGTCCTCACCTGTCCTCTGGGACTGACGCTCCACTCAGCCGCATCACTGTCGGAAACACATCCATGTTGCTGGTGGGCTCGTCTACCTCTCTGCCACCCGGGATGATACCAGGCCAACGAAGGATCCCCGGGACCCGGATCCCTCCCTCCCAGTTTGTGGACTTCCCTGCTGCTCAGAGGAAAGAGGAGAACAGAGTCATGAAAGCTTCTCAGCATGTCTGGTCTCAGAACAGAGCCGGCTTTTTAACCAAAGGAACAACATGAATCTTCAGACGGGCCACTGGCAGAGATAAAAGAGCATGGCAGACGCGCTCAGCTTTACAAGACTCTCTTTGAATCAGATCTGAACTCAGTTCCTCTCATCTTAAAACCCTAACTTATGCTGAAGACAAACACGTTCACTTTCAGTCTGACAGGTTAATAAATACACATTCTTATGAATTAAACATTTCTCATCCATGCTGTGAACTGCTCTGAAAAATTCAACCAAAAGTTTAGGAACAAGTCAGGAAACGGTGTCCTTATAATCCTGCTCAAGAGCCAGTAAAGACACAAAATCAAAACACAACTTTGAATTATTGATCACAAATAAATATGCATCTCCTTTATGGAGGATGCAAACAATTGTGGTGTGCACTAGGGCTTTAATAAACCAAAGAAATTCTTGGTCGACCAAAACCCTGAAATTTTCCACCAAAAATTGACCAATCAGGGAGGCGTGTTCCAACTCTACACCCTTCTGTGGCGGGCGACTACGCTGCCGGCGGAGCGCGGATTGGTAGGGTAAAAATATACTATTGTCAGCACAAGAAGGGAATTAACACAAATATTATATTCAGCAAACCACCTGACGTTGATCAACATGGACGCTCTCCATTGGGTTGGGCAAATCCAAAATGGTGAAAACAAGGGAGGTGTTCTGAAACAGGCTGTAAGCTCTGAAAACACCCCCATTAGCACTTGGTACGTTCCTCCTGATGATGATTTACCATAGACTGTAAATTGATGCGGAAAAATATTGAGTCGACCAATTCGAATTTTGGTCGAATCAGCACGTATCGACCAATAAGTCGACCAGTCGACTAGGACTTTACAGCCCTAGTGTAGCGGTGGGACGTTTGACGCCGAGGCTTCGAGGCGAATGAAGGGGGCGTGTCCGACGAAGCCCCACGTGACCAATGACAAACAAGACCTCACATTACACAGGTAACGTGACTGGAGTTTGGATTATAATCAGCAGTGGTCGTCATTGAAAGCATAGGGTTAGTTAGTCACAGTAGAAGTAGTTGTTGAATTAGTTTTAGTATTAGTAGTAGTTAGTAGTAGAAGTAATTTAATGGGGCAAGCAAGAAAGAGAAATTGTGATGATTGTGATGTTTGCAAATGACATTTAGTGAAGGACATTAAAGAAAACCAGCTGCTGTGTAAAAAGTAACACCCCCAGCAGAGAAACCTTAAACTTTAAGAGAACTTTTTCTAATATGCATACAGACATCCATCTATACATGCAAATGCATCCCTGTATGCTGTTTCTGTGTTGGGAAAAGCACCACACTTTACATACTTCCCTTAAAACAAATCTGTCTAAAAACACTCAATCCCTCTTCACTACCTTTAAAGATCCCGTTCCAGCCTCGGTGCACCTCCCCTCGAGCTGAGATCTCTTCCAGGTGAGCTCCCTGATCTGAGGTCAGGTACATCAGAGTATTGTCTGTCAGTTTGAGTCGGTCCAGAGTCCGCATGAGCTCACCTGAAAACACCAAAGAACACCACAGAAAGCTGTCAGTGTTTGGACACACTTTGGTGTTTTTCTCCTGAATGTTTCATCTCTAAGATTCATTCACGATGCTTGTCAGGTTAAACTTTGTTTTAATTTCTTTTCACATTTTCAGGCTTTAGAGACTTTCATAATAAAATTCAATTTGTTACAATAAATAAAAATCCAAAAATCTAAACTTTTGTTTTCCGTGAAACTTTTTCCAAAATCATATTTTTTTTCCTGGGAGTAAATTTGAGCATGAATATTTACTAATATGTAAAACAGCAAAATTTAAATGTTTTAAATTTAAGTGTTTCAGAATTTACATCTACAGCCGATCTACATGTAAATACAGCTACTTAAAGACGGCACAGTGCGCTAGGTATGGGCGATACGGGCTAAAAAAATGTATCACGAAAAGATTTGAAATTCTAGCGATAACGACAAAAGTCCTGAAAAAAAAATATTATAATTCCAATCTATAACATGCAGATGTTGTCGGATGTGGTTAGACGTCCAGCGGACTGAACTCTTCACCCTCACAGGTCAGACAAATTTCACTATAATTCTCTTCACAAATCCTGCAGCTGTGGACAAAGAGCATCAGAATTAAAATAAATGAACCATGATGAAAAACAGTCAGTGTCTATTCAGCCGCAGAAACACACCACAATTACTGCCCTCCTCCTGTGTGCTCTTACAATAGTCCTCCAGCTAAAATAATTGGAGTAATTACATGTTCATTAGGAAAATTATTCAGTCCATTGTGGGTTCTTGTTGTGCGGAGGCCGTCCTTGAGACTGTGCAGCAATTACATGAACAGAAAGACAGAATGAGAGCGGACTATTTTACATCCTTTCAGCAATGTTTTAATGAAGAAGGACCAGCTGATGTGAGTATGGCAGCTTACCTGCAGAAGGACTCTTTTGTACATCTTAATTAAGAACAAATGTCTTTTGACTGAAGTCCTCCGCTCTTTCTCAAATCAGATTATTTCTTGTACATCTCATAAAATGTTGAAACAGGAACATGAAGTATGGATGACACAGTAAGAGAATTTGAATGTTTTGCCAGAGAGAAAATGCGATTCGTTCATCTGTGTTTTTAAAGCTCTAGTTCTTTCTCTTAATCCTGGACTGACAGCAGCAGAATAAATCTGATTGTATGAAGCTGGAACTATAGACGGTACAGATGTTTTCTTCAAATTTTGAAGAAGGTCTTTTTTTAATGCAGGGTTAACTCCACCCAGACAGGAGGAGGCGGGGCTAAACGGTCAATAACCAGACCCATTCAGAGGACTTGTTTCATGTCCGTTAACTTGATACTTTAAAGGGCCTAACTTGGTTAAATGAAGATTAAACTAATTAAAAACTGCAAACAGGTGATCCATCATTTTGAAAAACAGTTCGGTCTCTCCTGAAATGCTCCCACCCTGCAGACTTCACTCATCTCTTCAGGGGGTAGAAAAACTTCACAGCTCAATGTGATTTGGAGACCCTCAAAATCTTAGGATGAGTGTTGATGAGCATTAAAAACCCTCTTTTGTCATAACTGTGTTGTTAATTTTTATGGTTTTGTTGTTGTATCTTTGCAGAAAGGCGAGGCCTGTTGGCTTCCTCTTCTATTAAATTTCCCTTCAGGGATCAATAAAGTTCTTTTTCATTTCTTTTCTTCTTTTTTAATTTTTTTCTTCTTCAGACAAATAAAAAGATGGACTAAACTGGGAAACACAGAGGGCTCTATTTTCTTGTCCGCCGGCAGCGCGGCAGAAGGTGGCGGACCCCGCGCAGTGGTATTTTCGTCTGGTGGAGCCCTGTGCACAGCCAGTTTGGTATTTTCATAGACTGAGGCGCACTGAGGTCCGCCAAGCTGGGCGTGGTGGCGCGATGCGTCATTCACGCACAGATGGTTCCAATTTTAATGCCATTATCGGAATTTACATTGTGATCTGTGCGCACAACCCACCTTTTTCATGTGGGGTTTAAATATGTGCAACTTTATGTGAGTGTCTTTATTTGTGGAAAAGGGTGTTTGTCTTACCAGTGGGTCCAACATTACACACACCAAATCCATCTGTGCTTATATGAGACAGTGTGGAGGACGCCCTCTGCAGCACTTACAGCAACACTTGTTGAGGAGCTGCCTTCTGTCGCCATCGTGTGGCATTACTGTCTTCAGACATCTCTTGATCTCTTTGACTACTGCACGAAAATAGTAATACACCTTGCCGGTGGCGGATTTAAGGGTGAGGAGAGGAGCTGATGTAATTGGTGAAAACAGGTCTTGACTGTGTTAAACCCACTCTACACCTTATCCCCTCCCTCTCTACGACTTACGCCGCTGGGAGGAGCTGAGAAAGGGAGGGGGGATACTTACGGCGCTCATCAAAATACCAAAATGTGCTTGGGCACGCCTTGTTAGCGCGGCGGACCTGACTTTCACCATGCCTACACCACACCGCCGGTGAGGCACGAAAATAGAGCCCAGAAACTCAAAAAATAAATCATGTGGTTTGTTTTTACCTACACTCCAGTCCACCTCGTGGACAGCATCCCCATAGATGCCATGTTGGCTGCTTCCTCTGAACGCAGCAGAAGCAAACATGGCCGTGTGCACTTGGATGAAGGAGAAAAACAGCAGGAAGGGTTTTTCCGAGTTCCTGCAGGAATAACAAATACATAAGTATAAACCCAGATTCCAACTAACGCAAAATAAAATAACAAACAACCTGCTGGTCGACCTAATATTTTTTAAATGCATGTCCTTTAAAGAGCCCTATGTGGATGAGGAGAAGGACAGGTTGATCAAGAGTCATTTGACTTTTGACTCATTTCTGCTTATGGTGAGGTCATTTCTTACAGTATCTTTAGAAGCTGCCACTCCTTTAAATGTGTCCAACCCACAGATTGTAGATTATGTTAAGATAAGACTGTAAGAATGTGTTACTCACTTTTAAATCTGTTTTAAAACTAAATGATCTTGGGCCAGATTACATTTTAACCATGATCATACAGACATTAATCTGTAACTCATTAACTCATTCTTAATTCACACATATGAAGGGAAGCTGAGCTGACCTCTCCATGAAGCCCACGGCCTCCTCAGTCATCCTCTGTGTCAGGTTTTCAGAAACAAATGGCTGCTCCACGACCCTGTGGTCCCTCATCAGGATGCAGTTAAAGTACGGGATCACTATGATGAATCCTAAAAACAGACCTGCAGCCAGGAGCAGCAGAGTCAGCAGACCCAGGACCAGCCCTCTGCGGATCGAGACAAAGCCGCAGTAATGGAGTAAAACCGCACTGAGGAAGACGACACATAGAGTCCCATAGGGGAGGTACTTCTGGATCTGGAAGACAGTCCCGTGCCCCGACTGGCAGTCCCGCAGGTTGGTCAGAGGGATGCCAAAGAAGAAGTTAAAGCCGTGAGCACTAGGGTGGTGGCAGTGATCCTCTCTGGTGTGACAGTTCAGACCGAGGTGCCATTTTCCTGCAAAAGACAGAATATTTACAAAAGAGAAAACTGCTGTTTATGTTCATATCTACAGCTCATCCTGAACATTTCTCTGCAATTATGAACATGGCAAGTCAATGTCAAAGCTGTGCACTCGCAACTCCACTCTTGTGTGAGGTAAATTCAGTGTTTGAGCCGCCTGTCAGCCTTAAAGGAGTAATGCACCAGCTGTTTCTGTTTTAAAAAGCATCTTTCTCTCTGCAGGGATCCTTTCTGTTCAGGTTTCAGACACTTCAACTAACAATCTGAGCCTGACAGGGAAAAATGTGTGCTTTTAGTGGACATGTTCTGCCCTAATGTTGCAGCCCGTTTAGTAGATGTAGGCTGAGGTGATGTCTTCTGAAAAAAAAAAAAAAAGAAAAAAACAGAATTGCCCTTTAAAAACAGGTGTATTATGATAATGAATAGATGATTATATATGTAAGTATGTGTGTATGTAGGTATGTAGATACATATATATATATGTATATGTATTTATATGTGTATGTATGCGCATGTATGTATATATATATATATATGTATATATATAGATAGATAGATAGATAGATAGATAGATAGATAGATAGATAGAAAGATAGATAGATAGATAGATAGATAGATAGATAGATAGATAGATAGATAGATAGATAGATAGATAGATGGATAGATGGATACTTATAAATATACATATATGTGTACTGTATATAAATAAAAAATATAAAATTAAATTAAATATATATGTATATATATATATATATATATATATATATACTTTTTTATTTACTTATTTATTTTAATGAATTTTATTAATTCATTAATTTATTTATTTTTACCAAACCTAGCTCATGGGATGGATGTGTGGGGGGAGAGGGTATGTACCCTCTTAAGTACACTTTTGTGTTGCTAAAGTGCAAAAGTATAGAGGTTGCAAATTATATTTTTTTTTTTTTCACTATTTATATAATTATGTTTTCCCAATTTTGTATTATAACCATTATTTTTTGCGTATGTTTGTGTTCTGTATTTCTTTTCATTCAATTTTGATTATACTTTAGTTTGTTGTCTCCCATTAGTCATGACTATGACACTAAATTTTGTTAATATTATATTAATTTACATTGTTTGTATATTTTTTAGTACTTTTGTTTATGTAAAAATCGAGCAAAAAATATTTACCTTATTTGCACTCTTTGATTTAAATAATAAATATCATTACAAAAAAAAAAGAAACGGGTGCAGATGAGGATAAGTGCGGCTCACCTATGAGGGCCGTCTCGTAGCCTTGTTGTTGGGCCATCTTTGCAAAAGTGATTTCTGTGCCGGGGAGGCCTCCAGGTGCAGCATTTAATATAAAGACTAAATTTCTACCCTTTCCATAAATTCCTGTAAGAGAGAAAAATTATGCAAAAAAAATACCTTGTTATACAACAAACCTCTGCAGGGCTTTTGCTCCGTATTTGAAATCAATGAGGAAAACAATGAATGCCTTTGTAAAATTCTGTTTTTTTTGCACCCTGGATATCAAATTATGTGTCGACTCTCTGTTGAATAATTCAGTCCTTGGATGAATGGCTGCTCTGCAGGTTCTACAGTAAAGATCAGTCTAATGTGACAGTGTTTAACTGTTGTTTTGACTGCCTGAAGACCAACATTAAGCACTCTGTCAGTCAGTAAAGGTTTTTCTGCTGGACTGGCCTGATCGTATCGGGTATCGCCCGGTGAGGAATGCAGCCCTGCTGGGGGAGCAGAGACTGGCTGCAGCGATGTGATGCGTCAGCTTCACCCCATCCTCTGCCAGCTGGTCAATATTTGGAGTCCTGCGAGCAGAATTCATCAAGAGTCAGAAGACAGGCTCAACATTTCGACAAAGTCTGTTTTCTCTCATTGCTCTGAGTTCAAGTCAGGTGCGTTTTATCACCTGAAACAAGGAAAGTTGAGGAAAAACTAATTATGCTGACAATGTGGAATAACCAGCTCTACCTCAGGGTTTTGTTTCCGTAGCAGCCCAGGTCTCCGATCCCGAGGTCGTCCACCATCATGAGGACAAAATTTGGCTTCCTGCTCCCCTGAAGAAACACCTGGCTCACCTCCAGGAGTAGCAGCAGCAGCAGCAGCAGAGAGGACTGTAAACATGTGGGCTTCATGCTGTCAGAGTAGAAACACTGGAGGAGAAATCACAGCAAATTATCATGCAGTTAGAGAAACACCCACTGAAGGTTCTTACAGCAGAGAGAGAGAGAGAGAGAGAGAGAGAGAGAGAGAGAGAGAGGAGGGCGGATAATGATGAAAGAGTGATGTGAGGAGTCTCTCTACATATATTCTAAGAAAAACAGCATACATGTTTAACAGATTATAAAGCTGTTTCTGCAATGAAAACAATAATCTCATAAACTGTGAGTGGAGAAAGGCAATTTTCCTACATATTCCATGCACATAACTACACTTTCAGTCCTCCATATGGAAGTTAAACATCATAGAATAACTCAGATATGTTCTTATTAACTACTCAAACAGAATAGCAGTGAGAAGCAAAGCCTGCATGGCACTGCAGGGGAGTCAGAGTCAGTATAAACTCAAAAGACGCTTCAGAAACACTTGCAGGAAATATCAACTTTTAGATAAACAAACATGCAATTTTTTCCAGGCTGTGATTAATGCAAAAAAATCAAGTTGATGATCATGTTTAAACAGAATACTGATGTTTTGATTCAGCAGAGGAGATAAGAAAGAAACTCTGATTGTTAATAACAGCCTCTGCAAACTCTCTTTTTTTTACTTTGCTGTTTGGTCATCACTGATGTTAAAATTCAAGCAGCTTGCCTCAACGTGCACGCCACATGCAGGAAGAATTGAATTCAGATTCAGATTCCTTTATTAACTATTGTGTAATACACATAGGAATTTGCTTTTGCAATTACATGAGCACCAACAACACAAACAACAGCGTGCAAGAAAATAGATCAATATACGATTGAGTTCTTTTTGAGAGCTGATTTTTTGCACAAAAATTTAATGCACATGCTTGATCATGCATCATTTCTGCAACTTTGCAGATTAAACTTATCAAGGTATCAAAATAGACAGCAAATAGTCTCAACTATTCACTCTGGGTGTGCGCTTTTTTTAGTTTCTTTGAGTTGCAAAAGAAAAGGGTGTGGTGCAACAATCTGAGCAGGAATCCAAAGTTGCGGGAAAACTGTCTCTCCCTCTAAATTTATCACTCCATTTTGTTGCTGTTCTTCTCAGAATGGGCTCAGGCGTGTGCAAATCTATGCGAAGGGAGTTCAAGTCTGCAAGAACAGACACTTTAAAAGGCCTGTTTACTCATTTGGGTGTAAAGCTTAGAGAAAAACAAGAGAGCAGAGGTCATCGCAGTGCAGACATTATTGACAGGTTTAGTGTGCACACAGAAGATGGACTGAGGGGTAAATGTTTACCTGTAAGCCAATAAAGATCAGTGCACTCAGTATAGAGGTTACAATACACTGAGCAGAGGTGTGCACAATAAACAAATTGTAAAACCATAAAGAAGCAACATAACTTCCACTATTTTCTGTGGAGGCAAAAGTAGGTTTGTGTCTACAATAAAAACACTGCTTAAGCTCCTACAAAGTTTTAAATGAGAAGACAAAAAAGGAGGAAAATTAAGTAAAAATGTAAAATTCGGCAAGCCACAAGTTATTAAAAGGATATCCTGAAGTAATCATGTCAAATAAAATCAAAATTAGACATGGATGCTTTCAGTTTGTAAAATACTGCAAAAATCCTAATTATGCATGAACAGAGCAAGTAATGGAGTTTTTTTTTTTGTTTGTTTTTTTTTTTTACAGGAATTCTGCTTCAATTTTATTTTTAATCTTAATCCTGAAAACGCCTTAAACCAGCTTTACTCTTCAAAAATAATCTTTTTTATTTATTTATTTAATTATTTTTACGTTTTATATCATCTATCTCCTACAGAAGCTGCACCCATACCCCTATAGTTCAGGCCAATGAGCAGCTGGAGTTAGCAAATAGGCTATATACTGTCAGCTGTTAGTGGAGCTGTAAAACTGAGCCCTATCGCTACACTTCCGGTCCTGTAAACACACACCTGCTGTACGATGTAAGAAGTTTAAAAGTCAGAGAATAATATTTTACTTAAACGTGTCCATCTCTTATCTGCACCTGCAGTTGTGATCCTCACCTGCGCATCAAAACACACGTTCAAATTTTCCGGAAACTGTCAAACTGCAGGACGAGAATCTCGAGACACTTTCGCTTCGAGCTTTTAAATGAAGCTAGAAGAGACGAGCAGAAAAGGACTTCCTGTTTGGAGCTTCAAAATAAAAGCTGAAAAAAAAACTGTCGAATAGAATGGGCTCTATGCACCTATCCACTACTTCCTGAACTTAAGGCAGCTCCTTTATTTCCTGTCTTACATCATTGGACAAACTGATTAATCCAGGTGTGTCTAAGTAGTCACAATGACTAGTCACACCTGGATTAAAGGTTGGGTAGGCTTTTTTTTGTGGTGAATATACAAAAAAGCTTTTAATATCAGTCAATAGTTATTAGTTATTGATGACATTTGGCAATATCATGATATCCCTGTGTTCTCTTATGCCAGTGTAGTCAACATTATAATTTGAGCGGTCCGCTTATTCTGACTGCAAACAAAGCCGTTCTCCACCTCCCCGACCTGATTGGTTGTGAGGTGGACACTGCTTCTTAAGGTGCTTACACACCGGGAACGACGCAAATATACGACGTAAAATAATGAAATATTCGGAGGCAAACTTTGACGAGCCTGGAAGCAAGAAGACTGACACAACAGCAGACTGACTGTTTTCCAGTTCTGATTAGACACTTGTGTTGAGATGTCTGTCTGTCATGATAGCATGTACTGAGTCGGGGCCAGTACCAGATAAGCACATTAAACTATAATCCATAAACGTAAGGTAACAACCGAGACCTAATGGTGCTGTAACAGCAACGCCATTAGTTTGAGACAGTGAAAATACATATGGTATGTTGTATCTGAACAGGTTAGCTTACGAGCTAAAGTTACTTAGCACAGATGAAAGTTAAAACAAAGACGTTTAGCAAACTGTTAAAGCACACAAACTATCGTCATATGAGAAATCCGACGCTATGACTCTCCACAAGTTGTCATTATCTTTGTAATGTTTGTGTTTTTTATCAAAAAACACTCTGTTCTTCGACACGTAAACAATCAGCCGGTCGGCCATGTTGGATATACGGTGAATCTGATGTCGCAACAACACGCAATCTGATTGGTCAGAAGTGGACACAAACTATGCGAAACTTTAGAAAAATCGACTGTGATACGAAAAAATAAATGCCGCAATATCGCAGGACAGGAAAATGTGAACGCTTGTATTGAGAGGATACGAGTTTGAACAAAAATATTGACGTCCGAAATAATTGCACGAAAAAAACGCTCCCGGTGTGAAAGGACCTTAAAAGCTAACGTGTTGCAATATCAGACAGTAGAAACCAACTAGAAAATCGTCTGAATCCTCCTTTGGCCACGACTGCCAACACAAGCAAGAAAACAAAGTAAATACTGGAGACTGGCGGAATAAAAAAAAACTGGCACTTCCTCAGATCCTGTCTACCCCACCTTTAATCAGTTTTTCCAATAATGTAAGACAGTAAATAAAGGCACTGCCTACAAATAAAAAGACCAATATGTTTGGCCTAAGAGGGTTCACCCAAGGCTCTGCTGTGATTGGAAGACATAGTGATATAATAGTCACAATTTTCTGTGCATTTTGGGGTCAATGGTTTTGACAAATCTCTATTTGATGACCTGAATAATCTGCTGTCACGGCTGCACTAAACACTTTGAAGGCAGATGCTCCCGGTTCTTGGTTTTGTCACTGATAGGCTTTAAATCACAAGTGCTGAAAATGTACAAGTATCCTCATCATTTGATAAAAAGGTCATAGCTGTGTCATATTTTCCTTCACTGTATGTCACACAGCTCTTCTGTATAACACACCGTACCTTTCAGAGAGTCTCATTTCTCTAAATTCATGGTCACAGTCTCATTCAGCCTCAACATGTTTTTCATCCACATTAATGCTCATGTCCTTGCTATTCAAGCCTCCCTCTCAGAGTCGATTTGATGCTTTTATTTATGCAGCTGATGAGTTTGAAGAGCAGAGAAGGTGTGGAGAAATACTGGCATCTGTTGTTCCAGCCCAAAACTACAACAGGAAAAGTGAAGATTTAATCTCCAAAAACTCAACAGAGATCATCCCAACAACAAAACATGAGGAAGAAAGGTCAAACTAGAGGTCATGCACCTCTGTTCGACTGAATTGAACAGCTAAGATCACAGGGGGTTCAAATCCCACTTTGCCGATCAACAGATAACACACAAAGCTGACCCCTCAGTGCTGATAACAAACCATCAATCTGCCTCACATCACTCTATCTCACTCAGTCATGAGCAGTCGAGTCACATCCCTGCAGGTTGGTGGGCCCCCCCGCTGAGCACCTGTCTCAAAAACACGCTCTCTGGTCTGCACCGTCTGATGCACTGAAGCTTTTTTTTTCTCCTTTTAAGCCTCTTCAAAGGCGCCTCTCGTTGTCGTTGCATGCTAACACGAGAGGCGGTGGCACACGGGACCCCTGCAGGTTTTTGGGCTCCTGAACACAGAGGAAACCTGAGAGGAGGATCAGGAGTCAGAGACGTGACAATCACAACGTATGAAGTGATGAAGGAAGCTTTGTTTGAGTGGTCAAAGATTCCTCATCAGGTACGAACATCGACAAGGTGCCGTCTTGCGAGCTTCAGTCCAGTCTTCTTAAAAAAACCAGAGCTGGTTTTTGAGCTGTAAATCTGCTGTCTGAGCTCAGCTGTGAAGCAGGTCAAGCAGAGCAGCTCCTCCGTGTTCCAGATCCACCCTCCTGAGTGATCCTCTCTGTTCACCTTTTACACAGAGGCACCCTCAGGATCCGGGGTCAGGGTTTTCTTAACACCGGCTCACATCCGGATAAATGCTAACACCGCAGAGGAACAGCTCCTCACAAAGCCCCAAAACTTCACCCCACCTGCTGTTTGCTCAGCAGCCATGACTGAACCCGGTCCACAGGTGAGGCTCTGGAGGAAAACCAGGCTGTAAATGGAGCTTCACCTGCAGGTTCTCACGTGTATTTCCACCTGCACAGAAGCCACACAGAGGATGAAAAAAAGATCATTTTTCTCCAGTGTGATTCTCACGTCTGCAGAAGTTTTCAATTCTGCAGTTTACACCTATTAAAATATTTTGACTGCAATTAGCCTGATGCTATTTTCTTCCTCGTTTTGCTGATTCTTGAGTGTCTCCATTTACTCTGAGGGGTATGAGTGAGGCTGCTGCAGTGTGACCAGCAGGGAGCAGTGTTGTTGTGTTAATCCCAGAGGGCTTTAGAGCAGCAGTCCTGGGGTCAGGAGGAAGCAGACGCTCACTGAGGAGCAGAAATGCAAATAAATTCCTCAGAATGGGTCAGTGGGGAGGTTTTATCAGGCTCCAAGCTTTGCAGATTGCAGATTTCAAATTACACTCATAACAGCAAGAACGGTTTAATTTTTCTGCTTTGTTTCTGGATAAGAGACTATTTGAATTTTAACATTTTATATTCATGCTTCTTAATGTTTGGAGAGCTAGTGGCAGAAATCAGAGGGCTAAAGTCAAACAAGATAGAATGAAATCAAAATCATCTTTTCACTTAAGCTGGAGGAAAGGCGACAAACGTGATGCATGGATATTTTGTTCTACTTCAGAGCAGATGGTGATGGCTTTGGTTTCTCTAACACTCGATAAAGACAAAGATGTATGTTTCTACTGTACATACTGGGTCTGTTTTCAGGGGTGATATCTCTCTCTCTCTCTCTCTGTGGATGGAGTGTTTTTTTTCTCCTCATTCACACTCACACACTCCGGGTCAGAGCATGAAAGGCGTCTGCAGCCTGCGGCACTTTGGGAGCACTGGCATGTTCCTGCCTCTGACAGCAGAATTAGGACAGAGTGTGCATGTGACAGCGGGGAGATGCAGCTCAAACGTGCACATGAGTCAATACAGCTCTGCAGCAGGGGTACTTCTCACTCACAGAGAAAACACAAGAGGGTTAAAAATTCAAGATTTTTTTGTTGTTGTTGTTGTTGTGGTTCATTTTTCTCTAATTGTGCTCTTATTTGCACTCTACTGACTTTTGTATCTGCACGTATTTGTTGCTCACAGAGAACAGAGCAGCAGCCAGAGTCGCACTAATTAGATGGATGTTCAGTTCTGGCATCTGAGCGGCTGCACATGTTGATTTGATTTGGCTGTGCAGAGGACGAACAGAGGTTAGGAGCGTTCATTTAGAGGCTCCGCTCCGCTTCCAGCCCTGATGTGAGTAAAGAGTCTGCTCTCAATTTTCTCAAAGTCCGACCCCGAGCTTTACAGTGGAAGTGGAAATCCTGAAGCACATCACTTCCTCAGCAGCCGGGGGACATTTTAAAACCCAGAGACGTCAGCTGGAAGTGAGCGGGCAGGGGCAGATTTATGATGGGCAGCGCAGATGTTTGAAGAAAGAGAAGATGCAGTCATTGAGTCATCGTCGGTGATTGTTATTTATACAAGGAGAGAAAACGGTGAAAATGACGCAGAAGCCGCAACACAATTAAGGTTCATTTGCAGGAAACGTAAAGGTCAAAACGTTCATGTGTGAAGAGTGTATCCACGCTAATCCATGTGGTAAGGTTTTTGGTGGACCCATCAGCTGTTGGGTCTTGATCCGATTAAAAGTTTGAGGCATCGGATAATCTGAATCCACTGTTTATGTGGGTACAAAATCAAATAATCCGATCATGATGTTTGTATACATGCACCAAGCTTTATTCAGATTAGAAGTATTTGGACATGTGCAGAGTTGTCTAATTTCACAAGAAAAACCACAGAAAAAGAATTGTATTTATGCCTGTGCTGTCAACAAACCAACAAATGTGGTAGTGGCTCACTCCATCCAATTCAGGAGTTTTCCCCCTGTTAAATGTTGTCACAAGATGGCGCCCTTGCGTACTTATTTAACTGTTCTGTCGAAGGTGCTCTGTGCGTGCAGATGTGACGTCATTACGCTGTATGTACGGCTTGTTATGTTATCGGAAGAGCAGACACGACACCTGCAGTTGTATTTTAAGCCAAAAGGTCCTTACACACTGGGGCCGACGCGAATATAGAACGCGAAATTACAAAATATTCAGAGGCGAATTTTGACGCGCCTGACTATGGTAACAACCGTTAGCTTACGTTAGCACAGATGAAAGTTAAAACAAAGACGTTTAGCAAACTGTTAAAGCACACAAACCATCATCATATCAGAAATCCAACGCTATGACTCTCCACAAGTTGTCCTTCAGGTCGTTATCTTTG